CTGCTGCTGCTGCGGCTGCGACTGCTGCTGCTGCGGACGCGGCTGCTACTGGGACTGCTGCTCCTGCGGGTCCAGCTGCTGCTGCTGCTGCTCCTGCGGCTCCAGCTGCTGCTGCTGCTCCTCCAGCCGCTGTAACTCCCTCTCCTCTCTCTCCAACGCCAGCTGCTCGTCACGGGCACGGCGAACACGAGCCTGGTGCCTAGTCGGGTAGGGGTGGGGGGGTGGAGTAGTGTCCGAAGCAGCGGCAGCTCCAGAGTCCACCCCAGAAGAACTAGGCGCACCACCCCCAGAGGCAGCACTAACACCAGCTCCAGACCCAGGCTCACCTGAACCCGAAGAAGGCGCACCCTCACCCCCAGACGCAGCACCCCCAGTGTCCGCGCGGCCAGCACCAGCTCCCGGACGACAAGAGTCCTCTGCACCCACCGGGTCAGCTCCAACTCCAGAACCAGAAACTCCAGCTCCAACCCCAGCTCCAACTCCAGCACCCCCAGAACCAGAAACTCCAGTGCCAACTCCAGCTCCAACTCCAGCTCCAACTCCAGCACCCCCAGAACTAGAAACCGGTACAGGAACAGGCGCCGCACCAACCTCTCGAGAGCTAGCACCAGCGGCACGCTGCGAGGAGGACTGTGGGGAGGGAGGCTGTACCGGAGGGGCAACCGAAGGAGGAGGGGTAGCCTGGGACACACCTGACGGGGCTGGACCAGGGGGGGGAGGCTGTACCGGGGGAGCAGGAGGGGGAACGGCAGTCAGGAAGAGGGGGGGAGGAGGAACCGGGAGACCTCGACTGGGGTACCTGACGTAGTACGGAGTGGACTCCTCGAAACGGACGTCACGGGAGTCAAAGAACCGGTGAGAGGGAGGGTGGTAAAAGGTGAAGTCAGAGGAGTCCTCAGGGAAACCAAGGAAGACACAGGGGACGACACGAGGCGAGAGCTTGTCCGCGGAGGTGTCGCGGACAAGAGCCAAGCACCCCCAGACACGAAACCGCGACGCAACACCAGGGGACCCTGTCCAAAGACTGGTCGGTGAAACCTCTGGTCGAGAGACACGTGGCCAGAGGTTCAGCTGGTGCGCGGCGTACCTGACCGCGTAGGGCCACAGAAAATGGGGGGCACAGGCGTGAGTCAGGGAGGTGCGGGCGATCTCCATGACCAGGCCTATGCGGCGCTCAGCAACCCCATTCTGCTGTGGGGACTCTGGAAGCGTCCAGGACTGACGAATGCCCTGCTCGCGACAGAATCCAGCGAGAATGCCGGAGCGAAACTCACCCCCACGGTCGGAGTGGAGACAGCTGACACGACGACCACGAGTGTCTTCAGTGGTGAGCAACCACCTGATCAGCGTAGAAGTCACCTCAGACTTCTTCGCCAGAGGGAACACTGTGGTGTAGCGGGAGAAGTCGTCAACGACCACCAGAAAGTAACGCTCCCGCTCAGGGCCTAGACGAGGGGCTGGGCCCCAGACGTCCAAGTGAAGCGTCTCAAAAGGCTCGGTGGCCGGACGAAGGGAGGAGGAGTGAGGGGTGGCGCGCAGCCTACCCTCGACGCAGGGAGGACACGGCGGCGCAGGCGAAGGCGGCAGCGACGGCAAGACACGTGGGAGGCCTAGGACAAGACGCTGACTAGACATAGCGCGCAGACGTGGAAGGGACGGGTGCCCCATCCGGTGGTGCCACAGAACGGTGGGGTGGGCAAGCGACCGGCAGGAGCACGGCGCAGCGACTGGAACAGACGTAGGAACCTGACACGACACAGACACCTGGGGGGACGTAGCAACCTGGTGAGACGCGGGGACCCGAACGGGGGGGGGAACCGGGGGCAGTGGCAGTAGGGGGGGCTGCTGGTGCGGCCGCTGGTGCTGCTGCTGCTGCTGCTGCTGCTGCTGCTGCGGCTGCGGCTGCGGCTGCTGCTGCGGCTGCTGCTGCGGCGCACGCGGGCCAGTGTGAAGAGTGTAGAGACCCGAGCCCGGCTCAGCAGTAAAGGTAGCAAGAGGCTGGTAAGAGTCTCCGTCAACACACACCGCAGTCTCTCCAGAAGGCTCAAACCACACACCCACGTGCTGGCTCACGAGGGGTCGCACGCCCACCAAGTTCCGGGAGAACGAGGGGACGTGAAACCCAGTGAGAGACCCGGAGGGAGCAGCAGGACACGGTAAAGTGGTAGTGTGACGTGCAGTGACTGGTCCCGTAGTGGGATCAGCCAACGCTACAGAAACAGGCGCAGGAAGTGGTGTAAGTGTCGTGCTGTCCTGGAAGAAGCAGTGGGAGGCTCCAGAGTCCAGTGTGAGCGACAGCGAAGTGTCGTCTGAGGTAGTCGCTGGTCTAGAGTCTACACAAGTACCTACACTAGCAACAGGCAACTGAGCTAGACTAGCACCTAAGCTAACAACACCAGAGTAAACAGAGTCAGAAACACTAGAGTCAACAACAGCATACATAGCATGAGGAGCACTAATCAGATCAACTAACTGCTCAGCAGACATGCCCCACAGAGCGGAGCCGTAGCGCTGAACCAGAGGAAGCCAGTCAGGAGCAGGACCGCCAACCCCGTAGGTCAACCGGACTGTGTCAGTGAGCTGAGCAAAGCACTGACCAGGGGGGTGAAAGCGGCCACAAGGGTGGCCCCGACGAGGACCTGTCTGAACCTGGTAGGGGCAGGGAGGGTAAGCAGCACCGCGCTGGGGCTGACGCAGCCCCGACCCCGGAGCCAGCTGCTGACGCTGCTGCTGCTGAGGCTGCTGGGAGGAAAGGGGCTGCTGCTGCTGCTGAAGGTGCTGCTGACGCTGAGACTGGTACCACGCCGCTGCTCCACCTAGCGGGGCCGGCAGTACAGGAGGCGACTGACGAGCTCGAGGGTCGCCGCCACCAGCAGGTGCAGTGGAGTCACCAGCCGCTGCACGAGGGGTCTCTCCAGACGCTACACTCCCACCACTGCCAGTCGCAACAGCACCCCCACTACCTCCGCTACCTCCGCCTCCACCTCCACCGGAACCACCTTTCTTGCCCCCCCTGCCGCGGGACCGCGACGCAGTCGTAACAGCAGCCGCAGTCGCGTCAGTAGCGGCAGTGGCAAGAGAGGCAGTGAAGGTGGGTAACTGCGGGACTGTGCACCCGTGGAAGAGTGGGGGGGACACAGTACCAGAGGCGGCAGCTACCGAACGAAGGTTGCTCTCGACGTCCTTGAGTGCAGACTCAAGGACCTCGATAGTCAGCTCACTAGGGTGCTTCAACAGAAGCGCGTCACGAACGGAGGCAAGGCGGTCAGGGAGGCTAGTGGCGATGAAATAGACAGTAATCGCCATGGGGGGAGCCGTTCAGCGTCGTCAGGAGCAGGGCCTAAAGCTGTAGGCTCGGGGGGCTCGGGGAGGTCACCAGTAGCGTGTGACCAGAGGGTCTCGCCCCCCTGGACCTGACTCTCTAACAGACGACGAGCGCGAAGAAGCCAGACGGAAAAGTCAAGGGGTCTACCGTCAGCGTCGAAACGAAGAACTCGCGGAGTCGCCATAGTGAGAACCAACGCGAACGAACAGGCGAGTAACAACCGGGGGGGGAAGAGGACTCAGTCGCAGCGGAAGAGCGGGCTAGGGCGACGGGCCAAGACGTAGGGTAGGGCAACGGGCCAGGGCCTAGGGTAGGGCGACGGGCCAGAGCCTAGGGAGGGCGACGGGCCAGGGCCTAGGGAGGGCGACGGGCCAGGGCCTAGGGAGGGCGACGGGCCAGGGCCTAGGGAGGGCGACGGGCCAGGGCCTAGGGAGGGCGACGGGCTAGGGCCTAGGGAGGGCGACGGGCCAGGGCCTAGGGAGGGCGACGGGCCAGGGCCTAGGGAGGGCGACGCGACGGGGGAAAGGGCGGGAGCGACGCGACGGGGCAGGGCGACGCGACGGGACAGGGCGACGCGACGGGGCAGGGCGGCGCGACGGAGCAGGGCGACGGGACAGGGCAGGGCGACGCGACGGGGTAGGGCGACGCGACGGGACAGGGCGACGGGACAGGGCAGGGCGACGCGACGGGACAGGGCGACGGGACGGGGGGGTAACAGGCGGGCGCGACGCGACGGGGGGAACGGGCGCGACGCGACGGGGGGAACGGGCGCGACGCGACGGGGGGGAACGGGCGCGACGCGACGGGGGGAACGGGCGCGACGCGACGGGGGGAACGGGCGCGACGCGACGGGGGGGGAACGGGCGTGACGCGACGGGGGAGATGGCGCTAGGCTCGGTACTAGGCGCGGTAACAACGAAACTGGTACGAACGAGAGGTAGGATCAGGCTCGGGAGGTACGAACGGAGAACGGAGGAACGGGATCCCACAGGATCCTAACCTAGCTGATACCATGTCAAAATGAGGAATGGATGGTTGCATTGATGTTGGTTGGGGTACATATGACAAACCCTAACTTCTGTACCCCCTAAGACATACCTCACTACAGGCTACAACATTTGACACTTTGCAGTGACCATACCCATCGTTTCTTTACCAAACATATTATTGAGACCCTTCTTGATAACTAGTCGCATATTTTCCCCTTGACTTGTACCCCTTTCTCCTACTACCTACTGAATCATTTCGCTATGCATCACTCCTAAGCCAAACATTAAATTGTTCCAATTTGACCAAACCCGAGCACACCAGACCAGGCCCGACCAGGACAGAGGACAGGAGAGGAGACCTGGTCTATCAGCATTTTCAGGTTGTTTAACCCTGATGCGGTACCTGAGGACCAGATGTAACAGTAAGGGGAAAAATCCCGTCAAGAGTGAAACTGGTTCCTCCTTTATTCCCAAGTATTCAAACACAACTATACACTTGCATGCACCGTCACAAAAATGAAGCTGGGCATCACACCAAAAGGGATAAAAGGAAAGAATCACGTATGGTACAGATAAGCCTCAGCAGATGGATCGGCTCGGCACTTGTACAGGTGAGGGGGGACGACTTCAGCTGTGCAGTGTGGTCCAGTCCCGTGGGTGCATGGTGGCAGCAGGGGGCAGTGAGATCAGATGGCGCAGGCAACGGCCTTGACGAGGGCCACATTGCCCGACGTGGTGCTGCATGCACAGAGAGGGGAAACAGCACAGCAGAGAGCGATGAGTGTGAGAAAGGCACCACAGGAGAACGACAGCATGCTGCAAGTATTGAGAGAAAGGAAGCACAGGCGGGGCAGGGGCGGGGGGCGGGGCACTGACGCGAAGTTGGTGACATCGCCGGCGGGGCGGTAGTAGCCGGTGGCGGAGCCGTAGCAGGAGGCGCTGGTCCAGAACCACAGCAGCCCGCACGACTGCTTGGGCGCCCCCGTGCTGTCCGGCACGTTCCACAGCACGCGCAGCGACGCCGCCGCAATGCCGCCGGGGATGTCCACACAGCTGCCGCGTGACGAGTTGGCGGGCAGCCCTGTGCGCACGAGCGTGGGGCCCAGCGCGGGGGCCGTGCTGGTGTAGGACGCCGTGTTGTAGATGGCCAGGCTCGTGGCTGCCACAGCTGCGGGCGTGCCCTGCACACACACGTTGCTGCCCAGGTACCACCCCGTGGGGCACTGGCAGAACGGGTACCCACTCCCGTCCACTGCACATGTCGCCTGTGCTGGGCACACCGCCCCCACACACGCCGGCGCTGCAAGCAATAGGAAGGGAAGGCCACAGGGGCGAGGGAGGGAAAGTGTGGTGTGAGGAAAGGGGGTGGTGGAGAATGGCGAATGATGAATCACGAGGGACGAATGACCAAGGGGGCGGAGTGGGCAGGCAGGGGAGAGGGGAGAGAGGGGCACTCACGGACGCAGGTGTCGGAGGTGATGGGCACGAGGCCGGTGGGGCAGGCGCACTGGGCGGAGCCGGAGGAGCCGTCACAGACGAGGTTGCCGGGGCACGTGGTGGTGCCGCTGGCGCACGGGTCGGGCTGGCACGTGGCGTTGTTGACGAGCACCTGCCCCGCCCCACACACACACATGGGCTGCCCGTACCGCACTGTGCATGTGGCCGTGGATGGGCATGCCACCCGGTAGCACGGGTCTTGCACTGCAGGGGAGAAAGGCACAGAAGGAGAGGGAGGGAATGAAGTGAGAGGTAGCACGGGTCTTGCACTGCAGGGGGGAAAGGCACAGAAGGAGAGGGAGGGAATGAAGTGAGAGGTAGGGAAAATTTGAGAAGAGGTGGGAGCACAAGGGAGGCACAAGGGTTTGGAGGGAGGGAAGGGAGCGCAGCACTGACCGTAGGGCAGCTGGCCGCCATAGTTTCCGGGCGGGTAGTAGTGGCACGCCCACACGTCCGACTTGGTGCCGCACGACGCCTTGGCACAGCCCACGGTGCGCGTGTTGTTCCAAATGACCTGCAGGGAAGAGGAACGAGGGAGCAGATGACCGACGAGGCACAGCTGCATGGTGCAACGCACAGCGTGCCTTTGCAAGCAGCACACCTCACAGCACCATCTCTCCTCCTCCCTGAAATCCTCTTCCCCATGCAGCTCACCTGGGTGTAGTGGCCACAGTCGGCCCAGTTGCCGGTGCTGCAGCCGCCAGAGAAGACGGCGTACGAGTAGAGGTCGCCCTCGCCCACCCACCAGCTCACAGCCGCCGCATCTGACGCCCACCCAGAAGGGCTGGCGCCTGAGAGGTTCTGCCCCTCGCCGCTGTTGCCGCCGTGCGACAGCCCGCAGTTGTACGTGCTGTTCGTCAGCGCTGTCGCCCACGCCTGCGCCCTCGTTGCCACTGGGAGATAAGGGGGGGGAGGAAGTGGAAGGAATGAGAATTGGGGTTTGAGAGGCGGCAGTGAAGGGTGCAGGTGTGGAGAGGGGGTGAAGGGTGCAGGTGTGGAGAAGGGGTGAAGGGTGCAGGTGTGGAGAAGGGGTGAAGGGTGCAGGTGTGGAGAGGGGGTGAGGTGCATGCAGTCCGTGCGGAGGGCGCATGAGAGCACGACAACCCAGTGCAAGCACACAGCAGTGGCCGTGCGTTGAGCGGCAGACGAATGCAGAATGGTGTTGGCAAGAGGCGGACACAGAAGCACGAGAGAGGCGGGCACTCACGGGTGGCGTTCCACACCAGGGGGATGGCGCCCACAGCTGCCCTCGCCGCATTGTGGTTGTCCAGATAGTTGGAAAAGGCCAGCGTCGCTGTGAGCGGGCGAGGCACGGCGGGCACGAGGCATGGGGGGAGTTGGGGAGTGAGGGGAGAAGGGAGTGAAGGACTAAGGGAGAGCGCAGGAAAGGGATGGAAGCATGCAGTTGCAAGCAGCAGGGAGGAGGGCAGCAGGACACAGGACAGGAGGGCAGGGGGGAGCACAACTGACCGTTGGAGCACTTGTTGTCAATGAGGCGCGTGTAGGGTGGAGGGCACGTGCAGACGGGCGCGCCGAGCATGTAGGTGCACTTGGAGACGTCGGGGCACCTCACCCCGTAGCACAGGTCTGCTCGCTCGAGTCGTGGGGGGGCGTGGGGGAAAGGGGAAAGGTACAGAGTCGAGTGAGCAAGGGAGACGGCAGGAGGGGCCGTGTTGGGGGAGAGGATGACCCGAGGAGAGAGCAATGGAGGAAGGCAGAGGGCAGAGATGGAGGGGGGGACTGGGAGGGCAGCACTTACCAGCGCAGGCGCACTTGGCAATGCCATTGGCGGCGGAGCACGTGCAGTTGGCCGGACACGTCACCAGCGAGCATGGGCTGGCCGCTGGTGGGGGGTGGAGGAGGGGGAGATGGAAGGGGAGGAAAAGGAGGAAAGAGACAGGGGGGTGAGGAGGGGAGGGGAGCAGTGCGCATGGCAGTCAAGTGGTATGCTGGCGAGCCAGGCAGCGGCAGGGTGGGCGAGGGCGAGGCAGCAGGCAGGCGAGTGGGTGGGCGAGGGCGAGGCAGAGGTGGAGAGTGAGGAGAGGTGGAGAGTGAGGAGAGGTGGAGAGTGAGGAGAGGTGGAGAGTGAGGAGAGGTGGAGAGTGAGGAGAGGTGGAGGGTGAGGAGAGGTGGAGGGTGAGGAGAGGTGGAGAGTGAGGAGAGGTGGAGAGTGAGGAGAGGTGGAGAGTGAGGAGAGGTGGAGAGTGAGGAGAGGTGGAGAGTGAGGAGAGGTGGAGAGTGAGGAGAGGTGGAGAGTGAGGAGAGGTGGAGAGTGAGGAGAGGTGGAGAGTGAGGAGAGGTGGAGAGTGAGGAGAGGTGGAGAGTGAGGAGAGGTGGAGAGTGAGGAGAGGTGGAGAGTGAGGAGAGGTGGAGAGTGAGGAGAGGTGGAGAGTGAGGAGAGGTGGAGAGTGAGGAGAGGTGGAGAGTGAGGAGAGGTGGAGAGTGAGGAGAGGTGGAGAGTGAGGAGAGGTGGAGAGTGAGGAGAGGTGGAGAGTGAGGAGAGGTGGAGAGTGAGGAGAGGTGGAGAGTGAGGAGAGGTGGAGAGTGAGGAGAGGTGGAGAGTGAGGAGAGGTGGAGAGTGAGGAGAGGTGGAGAGTGAGGAGAGGTGGAGAGTGAGGAGAGGTGGAGAGTGAGGAGAGGTGGAGAGTGAGGAGAGGTGGAGAGTGAGGAGAGGTGGAGAGTGAGGAGAGGTGGAGAGTGAGGAGAGGTGGAGAGTGAGGAGAGGTGGAGAGTGAGGAGAGGTGGAGAGTGAGGAGAGGTGGAAAGTCAGGAGAAAAGGCAAGGGGGCCGGGCGGGTGAGGGAGAAAAGGAGCGAGGGGCGAGAGGGACGACACGGGTTAGAGGGGCGAGGGGGCCGAGGTGGGGAGAGGGTGAGGGGGGCGAGGAGGGGAGAGGCGATGGGCGTACGCTGGCAGGCGCCGGAGACCATGGTGTAGCCCACGGCGCACACACACGTGGCCACTCCATTCACGCTGCTGCACGTGGCCTTGGCGGGACACGTGGTAGTCAGACACGCGTCAGTGATTGCTGCACACACCAGCCGGACCAGGGGGAGGGCGAAACGAGGGGGAGGGCGAAACGAGGAGGAGGGCGAAACGAGGGGTTGGTGGGGATGGGTGATGGGAGGAGAAGGGTCTACGAGCATGTGAGAGTGGCAAGTGTAAGCAACACGCAGTGCTGGCATGGCCGTGGGGAGCGAGGAGATTAACTCACCAACGCACTGGCCGGCGGTCATCTGGTAGCCGGTGCTGCACGTGCACGTGGCAACGCCGTTGACATTCGTGCATGCTGAGTTGGCGGGACAGCTGTATCCCGTGCACGGGTTGGGCACTGGTGTTTGGGAGATGGGAGAGCAAGCAAACACACAGAAAAAAGTTATGACTGAGAAGAGCGGAGAAGGTGGGACGAAGGGGCAAATGGTCGAGAGGGAGGGAGAGAGGAGGAGAGATACAGAGAGGGGGAGGCGTTGGAAGCAGGGGGAGAGGGAGAAGGAGAGGTGGGGGTTTGCAGAGTGAGGGAAGGCAGTTGACTCACCAACGCACTGGCCGTTGACCATCTGGTAACCAGTATTGCACGTGCACGTGGCGACGCCATTAACGTTGGAGCATGCTGAGTTGGCGGGACAGGTGTACCCCGTGCATGGGTTGGGCACTGGTGTTTGGGGGAGGGGAGAGCAAGAGGACAGGCAAAGAATTGCATTGGCGAGAAACAAGCGAGAAATCGGAGGAGAAACGGCAAGAGTGGAAGGGAGCGAAGTCGATCGGAGGTGGAGAGAGTGGGGGAGAGGAAGAGAGATGGAAATTGATGGAATGTGAAAGTGGGAAATTAACTCACCAACGCACTGGCCGTTGACCATCTGGTAACCAGTATTGCACGTGCACGTGGCGACGCCATTGACATTGGAGCATGCTGAGTTGGCGGGACAGCTGTACCCCGTGCACGGGTTGGGCACTGGCGTTTGGGAGGGGGAAAGGCAGGGAAACCAGCAGATATTAGAGTTGGTCAGAAACAAGAGAGAAATCGGAGGTAAGGGGAGAAGGAAAAGGATGGAGGGGGGAAGAGGAGAGCAGAAGAGGTGGAAAGACGGAGGTGAGATAATTGGAAAGGAGAGAGTGGAGGCTTGGGAGGTGAAGGATAGGTGGAGATTCACGGAGTGAGATAAAGGGAGTTGACTCACCAACGCACTGGCCGTTGACCATCTGGTAACCAGTATTGCACGTGCACGTGGCGACACCATTGACGTTGGAGCATGCTGAGTTGGCGGGACAGCTGTACCCTGTGCACGGGTTGGGCACTTTGGGAGCGGGGAGAGCAAGGAGACGGAAAAAAAAAGGGAGAAATTGGCGAGAGGCAAGCAAGAAATTGGAGGCGAGGAGAGGATGGATGGAGGGAGGGCATGGAGAGGAGAAGAGGTGGAGAGATTGGGGAGATATAACACAGGAGAGATTTATGGGTTGGAGGGGAGGAGGAAAAGAAGGTCAATTGTAAGTGAAATTAAACGGAATCAACTCACCAACGCACTGGCCGTTGACCATCTGGTATCCGGTATTGCACGTGCACGTGGCGACGCCATTGACATTTGAGCATGCTGAGTTGGCGGGACAGGTGTACCCCGTGCACGGGTTGGGCACTGGCGTTTGGGAGTGGGGAGAGCAAGGGGATGGGCAAAAAAACGAATTGGATAGAGGCAGAAATAGGAGGTGAAGAGAGGAGGGATGGAGGGAGGGACTAGAGACGATAAGAGGTGGAGGGATTGGGGGAGATACAAGCAGGACGTCAGCGGTGAGGAGGGGGGATCGGGGAAAGGAAAAATGGGGGGAGATTGAGTGGAGGCGGAGAGAGTGGAAAAGGGGAGGGTGGGGATCGGCAAACGAGATTCAGTGGAGTCAACTCACCAACGCACTGGCCGTTGACCATCTGGTAACCAGTATTGCACGTGCACGTGGCAACGCCATTGACGTTGGAGCATGCTGAGTTGGCGGGACAGCTGTACCCTGTGCACGGGTTGGACGTTGTTGCTGGCAGAAGGGGGAGAATGGGGAGAATGGGCAGAAGGGGGAGAATGGGGAGAATGGGCAGAAGGGGGAGGATGGGGAGAAGGGGAAGTAGGGGCAGAAAAGGGTGAGGACGCGGGTTGCACGGCGCTCACTCTGCATGGCGCAGCACTGCCGACCAGAGCGAGCAAACTCACCAACGCATTGCCCGTTGACCATGCTGTATCCAGCGTTGCACGTGCACACGGCGGCACCGTTGACCACGGAGCACGCGGCGTTGACGGGGCAGGTCTTGGTGGCGCAGGGGTACGTGTTGGTGGCGATGGCGGCCTGGCACGAGATGGACCTCGCCTTCAGAATAATGCCGCTCGCCGACCTGCACGCGGTCAGCGCAATCAACGCCGCCAGAGTCAGTCAACGGGGTCAACGTCATGGAAGCAGTCGAGAAGTGTCAGCGATGGGACGGAATGCGGGTGGATGGGAAGCGGCGGGCGCGCAAGGGCGCGCGGGCGTGTGGCGGGATGGGGCGTGGCTCACTTGACGCTGGTGGTGGTGTAGGTGAACTTGTTGGGGTCGACGGTCGTCCACCCGCCGGGGATCTGATAACCCGACCCGGAGCAGCAGCAGTTGGGTTTGTCCCAGAAAAACAGTTTGCCGCACACCAGGTGGTTCGCCACGCCGTCGTTCACGTTCCACATGATGCGCAGCGATCCCACCGACCCGTTGAACGCCGCCGGCAGGTTCACGCACGCACTCGTGTTCGGCGCCGCGCCGCGAAGCACGGCTGGCGCGAGTGTTTTCGGGAAGTTGGTGTACGACGCGCGGTTGTAGAGCACCACGTTGGTGCCGACGGTGGCCCAGCTGGCGGCCGGCGCGCACACGCCGTTGATGATGGCCTGCCCCGCCGCGCACTTGCAGAAAGGGAAGCCGCTGCCGTCCACCACGCACGACGCGCCAGCCGGACACACCACGCCCGCGGGGCACGACGCTGGACGGAGGGAAGGTGAGGGGGAGGGGGAGGGGGAGGGGGAGGGGGAGGGGGAGCACGGGCGCGCGGGGCGGTGCAAGGCTCGGAATTAGAGTGGCGGGAGGGGAAGCGACACAATTGAGGCCGTTCGTGGCGAGATTCTCAAAGCTCGACGCTGAACTCCCTTTTGGCGGTCCGGCCCGTGGAATCCGCAACGGCAATGCTGTGTGAAGGACGGGCGCACTGACCTTGCAGCTCGCGACGGCTGCTGCTACTTGCGGCGCCGTCCGCTTCGGCGAGAGGCGAGATGCGCGCCGCGGCGAGGCGATGCGAAGATAGTAGACATGCGTGCAGCAACAGTAGGAGTACGACCGGCCTCATTCTCAGTCAGTCAATTGCAATGCGATGATAGCGAGACGATGGCGAGATTTTGGAACGGGACCAGGACGCGGTCACCGAGATGGAAGGTGACACGCACAACTGTAAGAGCGGGTTTTGTAAGGCTGTGCTTTCAGTCAGAGAATGGCTGACAAACATACAATGGGCTGAGTGATTGACAGACAGCCAGGCAACGCATTGATTTCCTGACCGCCACCGCTAATTCAGGTTTCATCTGGTCACCTGCACTCCCCATTTCACTGTCTCACAGAGCAACCGCAACTAACTGTACACCCTCATTCTCGATAGAATGGCATATGTTATAGTGACCAGGACGCTTAGTGTAGCCGCACCTGACCAAAGAAGGTCCTATCACAATGCGTTACAGTGACAATTTGAACCAGGGCGTTTAGTCAGGGTTTCCTACGTTCTACAATGGTACTGTTGTTTTCAAAGCGGTCAGGACGGTTATTCAACGTTAATGGTTTTTTACGGCCCAAGGCGTGTTTCAAACCCTCGTGCGACTTTGCCCGCAACCTACTTATCTCACCAGCCCGCTACGTCCAAACACTGTAGCCAGTGCTTCCGCCGGTGAGAGAGGTGAGAAAAGGGTGTACTTTGTCGTGTACAATCTACCTTGCCGTTACTGTACTGTACCAGACGTTTCCCGTGCTTGTGGACCAAGTGAGGGAGATTTTTCTATTACCACCGACACGTACAGTACGGATGCTCCGTTCATCATAACGGCGGTTCTGTGCGTGCATACCGGCCTTTAGCTGAAGCATGCGAATTTTGCTAGTGCATGTTTGCGAATGCATGCAATAGACGGTTCAGGAAAACTGACAGCCTGCCGGCAAAATAACGCGGTTTTTAGGGCTGAAGCTCCCCCAGTCGCATGCTGCCATCCAGATGGGGTTTATATCTTTCTGACCGCGAGCAGATAACAGTCCGTCAGCCTCTTTCTCCTACGGCCGTCTAGTGTATGCATCTGCATAATCGCACTGGCATAAGCTGAATGCTGTAGAAAATGGCCCCGTGCATACGCTGGTGGCGACAAGGGTGTGAGTGACGTGGCTGAGTCAGCTTGCGGTTTGTGTTCAGGACTTGCCCTCCCATTCTCGATTGCGGCGCCGTTGGGCTGGGCTTTGGTATGTGTTTCACTAGCATGTGTTTCACTAGAACACGGATACGCATTGGCTTTCAAGTGGTTGGTAGGAACTTAGAACTGCGTTTGCCCATATGGATGGCTCAATAGTTTTTGAGAAAGAAACAGTGGGAAATGGCAAAAATTAAGAGCTTCAAACATGATAGCACCCCTAGTAGTACTTAGTAGTACCATAGCTGATGGGAAGCTCATTAGTTACAACAACAGAGAAAGAAGTCAAGCACAATCTACCAAGTATCACCAAGAATGGGGGAATGCAAAGAAAATGAAGGAAGGAGGTTCTTATGATGTCTTAAGCAACCTAGAAGTTCAATACTGTGAAGCCCTGTATCAATACTGTGAAAACAAGGAAAACAACAAGTGTCTACATTCCTGTACTTGGCATGGCCATATTCGAATCTGCTGGTTGTGCTGTAGGTGCCTGTGGCTCACCAACCTGTGCCTGCCCATAGTCGCCAAAGCTGCCAGCTGGCGCACCGTTTCCTCCTGCAGAGACTTCGCTGCCAGCGCCGCTCACAGCGGTGGGGACAACAGGCTGAGATGCAGCTGGAGCCATCTGCTGCTGCATCATCTGCTGGCCCTGCGAGTATCCCTGCTGTTGGTCCTGAGGGGCAGAGACTGTCTGCTGCAGGGCCATCTGCAAGGGTTGCTGTGGCGTCTGAAGTGGCTGCTGAATTGGCTGAGCCGGCTGAATGGGCTGCATTGTCTGCATCTGCTGCTGCTGCGGCTGCTGCGGGGGCTGCTGATATGTAGGCTGCTGCTGGGGTTGCAGCGCCTGCTGCTGTGGTTGTGGCTGCTGTGGCTGCTGGGGCTGCTGTTGTTGAACAGGATACTGCTGCTGTTGTTGCTGGTACTGCTGTGCCGACTGCTGATACTGTTGTGGCTGAGCCTGCTGCTGAAACTGCTGGTATTGCTGCTGCGCTTGCTGCTGGCCAGGAAGAGATTGCTGAGGCTGCTGCGGTGCTTGCTGATATTGCTGCTGCTGCGGTTGCTGCTGTTGCTGTGGTTGTGGTGGTGGCTGTGCTGGCTGCTGGTACTGCTGCGGCTGCGCGGGCTGCTGCTGTTGCTGTGGCTGCTGCTGTTGAACAGGGGCAGAAGGCTGCTGCTGTGCTGGCTGATACTGCACTTGCTGTGGTTGCTGAGTATATTGGGCCTGCTGGCCTGGAACTTGAGCTGCTGGGACGGGCTGCGCCGCTGCTGAAGGCTGTGTGTATGTCTGACCTGGCTGGACCGTTGGAGCCTGCGCAAAAGTCGAAATCAGCATCCAATAATAGAGATTATACTCACAAACAAGGAGAAAATGTGCTAAAAGGCTGATTGGACGCATCCGTGCACGGTTAACTAATTGATGCTACCCGGTACCTGAGGAGGAGGAACTTGAGGCTGCGCATCCGCAATCGCAGCGAGATACATAAGATTCTGCTGAAGCCTAGCCTGGTACCTGCAACACAAAACAGATTCGTTATCCATGTGTACGTGTCACAGTTTTCCGTCTGCACGACAACTCCCATATGGATTACTTACTGTGCGCATTCATTGAGTTTTCCCAAATTCTGATTGTCGAGGATCGCAAGGATCAGCTGCTTATTCTCGTCCAAGTACTGCACGAGCAAGAATCCGGACGTAAGCTGCGAGATACAGAATTAAGGCGCAAATAGCAACCGAAGACGGACAAGGATGCATTACCTTTTGAATAAGTTCTGTGGTGATAACATTCCCGGAATACGGCGAAGACTGCACGGGCATCGCCATTGAAACGAAAGGACACGTACGCTTCCCTTGAACGGGTAGGGTTAGAGGAGGCAAAATGTGAAAACTGGAATGTAACATTTGAATCGAAGACTTGAACAGAAGGTTGTGGGAGGTGGGGTTTCAAGGGAACGAGATGTGCGTTGGGATTGGCGGAAGTGGGTTTCCTTGGCAGGCTGTGGCAGGAATTGATGGATGCGCATTGGTTGAGCTGGGAGTTTAATCGCAGAGGCCAACTGGCTGCGACGTTTTATTAGCACTCGATTGGGTGAGATCAAAGACGAAAAGAGTTGGAGTGTTTCGTAACACAAACTTCCGCCGTTGGATAAGTAGGGAACGTGCGGCATAACTCGCGCATGCAATCCTCCCCACACCAATTGCAACAACGAAATTGACACTCGAAAGTTCCAACCAGTCCGGCTGCTTCACTGTCATGGCCCTATCAGACTTCTGAATTCTTCACAGGTTGTTTCTGCTGTGAACCAGCCATGGCCTCCTACTGCCTGTCCAACGTCGTTTCTGGCCTTGCTGCCAAGGTAATTAGATTAGTTTACGGTCTCAAGGCAGTATGCAAATGTCGCTGTTTCTACACTTGGCGGTGAACATGATACTCACTCGAGATTGTCGTGTTCGTGCAGGCTTCGTTCCTCCCTGGATCCTGTCATAACAACCAGATTTCGAAGGTTCGATATTCAAATCCAGCAGCGTTTCCTAGTCAGCGGGTTAGAAAAACAACCGTCTGGGCCAGCAATGAGGTAGGAGTCTCAGATGAACTCACCGTCACATTCCCGAAGTCGAAGCTGGTGGTTCCTTACCCTGACCATGAGGCGAAGGTGTACATAAGCCGCGAAGAATCTCCATCCGAGGTAGCCTCCGCTGTGGCTGAGTACATTCAGCGGCTTTCGGCAGAGGCGACGAAGGCCAGGGGTGCTTTTACCATTGCGCTATCTGGAGGCTCGCTGGTCAATGTATGTCCCAATGCGGCTATTTCTGCTTCGTATGCGGTACGCCTACAGATTCGTGTACTTGACGCTCATGGTTCCCGGGTGCAGGCTTTACTGAAACTGACTGAAGAACCCTTCAGGTCGTCAATAGATTGGAAAAATTGGCACGTCCTGTGGGTGGATGAGCGTGCGGTGAAGCTTTCGAGCCCTGACAGTAACTACAAGCTCGCGATGGTGGGTACCTGGGGTTGCTGTCCCTGGTTAATGTTCAAGGTACTGATGTACATTCAGGGCATGTGGTTTCCACGCAGGACGAGGTGCTGTCAAAGGTTCCCATTCCTGAGGAGCATATTTACTCTATCGATGATGAATTGTCTGTTGTGGAAGCTGCAAGCGACTACGAGGAACTCATGAAGTACGTGCTGGCCTCGAGTACCATGTTGCTTATATAGCTGCTTGTGAAGGAAATCCTCATTGATTCTAATATTAAGTCGCATCGTCCTTCAGAGAGCTTGTGGAGGAGGGCGTTCTCAGAACAACACAGGGTGTGCCGTTTCCTCGTATGGACCTGGTGAGAACTCTCGCATTCAATGATTTTACATTGCCCACGAGTGGTCAATCCTGATGAGCCCCGTAAGAGACTGCGCAGATTCTTCTTGGATTCGGTCCCGATGGCCATGTGGCCTCTCTCTTCCCCAACAGCCCGCTTTTGCGTGAAACATCAAAATGGGTGCTTCCTGTCACAAACTCGCCAAAACCACCTCCAGAACGGATCACCATGACGCTCCCTGTCATCAACTGCGCCTCAAATGTGAGTGCATGTTTGCGTTCAACTTAGGTGACTTGTTTTTCGACCAGGGCTGCCCTCCTGTGCTTTCTGCTACTGACACATTGATTGTGGTTGTGATCAGGTTGCATTTGTTGCAGCAGGGAAGGGAAAAGCTGAGGTGGTGCAGAGAATCTTTGGGAGGTTTGCTTTACCGGGTGCACTGCCTGCTCAACTGGTTCGTCCTTACAGTGGACCAGTCACCTGGTTTGTAGATTCAGCTGCGGTTTCCAAGCTGCCTGCATAGATTCGTTAAAAGGTAATGCATTCTAGAAGCAAAAGCATTTTTGGACAATGGCAGACCTAACCTAACTAGGTGCACAATACTTTAGGTACTGGAGACTATCCAGCCAAGGATTAGAACAGCTGGCTTCCAATGCCAATACCGAGGTCATCAGCGAGTCCATCCCAAAGTGGCAGAAGTGTGCCAACTGCCAGGGCGATTGTCCCAACAAGGACTGCTTGCCTCTGCCAGCCAACCCCTGAGACGTCATTCAATGCAGGCTTCTCAAAGTCCCTCTGGTGGACAATGGGAGGCACGGGGAGAGGAGACCAGTTAAATGCCTGGGCGCACCAAAAAGGTATTTGAACAAATTCTTCCAAAGCCCACACATTCTGGGCATGACGTTGACACAACCATACCTGAAGAAAGAGGACGTAGAGACCAAAGGGCAGGGAAAAAGGTCCCCCAAGCTGCAAGCAGGCCAGAAACAGGGTAACAGGCATGCAGGAATCAGTGCACAGGAGGATGGGCTCTGAACAGGCTCAAATAAAGTGCAGTTTTCCAGGCGAAGAAGTACGGTGAAACTAGGTACGAGGCTGAAACGAGTGAAGACTGCTCATGAGTGCACTTACCAAACCGAGTCCCAGAAGTCCGTATGTAACGAGGCTAGTGATGTTGACAGTGTCACGCCCAAATGCAGCCTGGGTGCATGCAAAAACAGGAGGGCACACAGAAAGCGCACGTGAGGTGAATGCAAGGGTTGACAGGCGAGAGAAGCCAACCTGTATCAACAGACATCCAGGCATGAAGCCAATGCAGTGAGAGTCATACCTGTGTCGCTCGTCCGCCGTCAATCCGACCTGCTGGCAACAGATTGAGAGCAGAGGTGGTCAAGCCACACCTGTGGCAGCAGGGAAATGGCAGGGTGGTGTAGGGGTAGTGTGTGCTTGGCATGGTGAGGCAATGGAGCAGGAGGATGGACTACAGGCTGGCCAAGGTTCCGAGGTGCACGTATGGCATGCAACGTGGGGCACCCGAAGGGGATGGCGATCGGACGTGAGAAGAAACGGCTGAGCAGAGGCACGTACCATCCAACAATGACGAGCGGGTGGATGGTGATTGCCTGCACATGCATCAAGCTGAGTGGAAGCACAGGGGGGAAGGGCACATGATACAGGGCTTGGTTGGGGCATATTAGAGTAGGCAAAGTAGTGCAAAGACAGCGTGTGAGGAGAGGCTCATTACCCATCCACCCTCTTTTCAAACCCTAACAAACACTCCCACACGTATCCCAGCACCGCTCTGCACTCACTCATATCCCAGCACCACTCTGCACTCACTCGTATCCCAGCACCACTCTGGACTCACTCGTATCCCAGCACCACTCTGCACTCACTCGTATCCCAGCACGGCTCGGCAGAGTGCGCCGAGCAGCAGGGAGCCCTGGAAGAGCTGCGAGGGCACCTGCACGAGCGACTCCTGCAGCCCTGGCAGCGCTGCCAGTGGGCCCGAGGGTGGCAGCGAGAGGGCAAGGCCCGCCGCAAACATGGCGAGCGACAAGGTGGCGCCGGCTAGCGGGCCGGCCATGGCAATGTCGAAGAGAGCAGTGCGGTCGGGACAGGGGCTCTTGATCTGCAGGGGAGGGGAAGGGGGAGAGATGGCATGGGAGTGAGTGGGTGTGTGAATAGAGAGAAATGGCATGAGGGACGTGCGTGAGGCATGAAGGATGGGGAAGGGCAGAGCACAAGAGACGCGTCAAAGTGCAAGCTAGTGTGACAGAGGAGATAGCAGCGGCTGGAAATGCCAGAGACATCCAGGTTCACTGTACCTGAGTGATGGCCCCGAAGCTCCCGATGGTGATGTTGGGAATGAGGTACGGGATGCCGAGCCTGACACGCTTCTGTGCTGCCGTCAGCCAGTGGGCCACCTCCTGGTGTGGTTGGGTGAGGTGCAAAGTAGAGGGTTGCGTACCCGCCGTAGGTGGTTGGGTGGAAGAAGTGAGCAGGGAGATTGAAGTGGCTGGCGCATGACACAAGAACACGTGAATGCTGGAGGTGAGAGGGTGAGGTGGGCCTGCAAGGATATTTGATGTGGAGAAGTTGAAGACACGGAACGTGCATGCATGCGTGTGGAACAGCCACCTGCACCTGTCCATGCCAGAGAGGAGGGGCTTCCACACTCACATGGAAGCCACACCTGCTCTGCCCTGCATCTGCCTGAAGGAACCGCTCTGCACTCACGTGGAACCGCTCTGCACTCACGTGGAAGCGCAGCACTCACGTGGAAGAGCAGCACTCACGTGGAAGAGCAGCACTCACGTGGAAGAGCAGCACTCACCTGGAAGAGCAGCACTCACGTGGAAGACCTGCACGCCAAAGACCCCGTAGGCGATGGGCAGGGCGTTGCGCACGAAGGGCGCCAGCACCGTCACGTCTGGCGGGGTCAGCTCCTCGGGATTGGGCGACGTGAAGTAGCGGATCACGTCGGGCGGCACCTTGGAGATCTGGGCGGCATGCAAAGGGGGAGGGGGAGGGCGATCGGTCAATATGATGCTGCTAACAGCTCACCCTACACTACTGTACTCGTGCGCCGTCGAATGAGTGCTAGTGATCAGATCATCGCACCACACCCCTCCCAACCCCTCCATTACATCCTCCCGCTGTTCAAGACCCTCGCTTTCGCCTCTCTCTTCCTCCCAGTCCCAATTATCCACAAATTCTTTCCCCCTCTCCCTTTCCTTCTTCCCCAACCCTCCCCCCCTTTCGAGCCCCCTCCCTCCCCCACCTGGCTGGCGAGGCCCAGTTCAAGGCACGCGCCCCCGGTGAGCGCGAGCAGCAGCGCGGCGAGCGCGTACTGCCACGCGGAGGTGGCGCGGCCCTGCAGCTGCTCCGCGCGCACCACCACCATCGCCACGCGCTCCTCCTTCCCCTCCCCCTCGCTGGGAGGCGCGCCCGGCTTGCGCGGCTCCTCCACCATCAGCAGCTCGTACTTTGCGCCGAACAGCAGCCGCATGCCCGCGCGCAGCTTCGCGAACACCTCCTCCTTGGGGCCGCGCAGGTTACCCTGTAACAACACGGCTTCGCCCGCCTCGCCAAAGGGCTCCTGGCCGGTGACGAAGAAGGTGGAGTAGCCGAAGAGCTTGGCGCGCAGCAGCGCCACGTCGTCCGCGTCGACCTTCTCCGGCCCCAGCAGCGCCACCACCGCGTACGAGTCCAGCTGCACGGGCGCGGGGGATGACGGCGGGGCAGCGGACGGCGGAGGAGGCGGAGAGGAGGATTCGGGCGGTTTACTGCCGGCTTCGCCGTCGGGCAGGGTGCCGACGGCCTTGGGCTTGTCTTCGTCCTTCTCTCCCCCCTCCTGCCCCGCCGCGCGCACCACGGGCGCACGCCGCCTCGCTAGCTGTGTACGAAGCGGTACACGCGCGCGATTTTGCAAATTCGCCGTCAAACGCGGAAGCGTGGCTGCGGGACGTAGCGCGGTGGCGAAAGGCGAGAAGGCGGACGGAGTGGAGTTCCATGTCGGCGCGATTGAGGAGCGCGACGCGGGGCAGTGCGGAGACGCAGTAGCACGGTTGGCGGTGTGCGGGCAAGGCACGACGCGAGCCATGCTCCGCACACGCAGACGCGTCGGACTGCCTGTCGCTTGCGGAGCGTTGAAGTAAGTGATGGAACGGTGCCGTGCACGTGGCAATGCGCAGAGGACGGAATTAGGCGTAGTGTGGAAATGCACGAATGTGGGCTGAAATACGAGAAGGGATTGTATGACGATGTAGGAATGACACGGAGAACTTGTTGATTCGTGCTCGCGAATTCGGAAAGTGTGTGTGGTAACCAGATATTTGGAACCTTTCCTCAATATTCGAGATGGTAGGTTATCGACGAGCTCGCGAAGACGACCTGGCGCAATTGGTGACGAGTAACATGATATATTACACAACTCACTGCTATTATTAACTTCAGTCTCCCGTTTCACAGCTAAACTTGAAGCGTCCCCTAAAAGAATCTGTGAACTAATTTATTTTATCTTTCGCCTAACCCTCCCTAGCTTGTCAATTTTGACGATAAGCAATGAAGTCAGCAAGGCCGATGAGGGGAGCCGCCTTGTGCTGGTCGAATGTGCTGAGCTGCTCCTTGGCCTTCCGAATCAGCTCCTCTGCCAGCTCCTTGGACTTCTCCAGCCCCAGTAACCTTTGCGAGATGAGGGACAGAGTGGGGAATGGGGGAGTGATGGGGAGGGGACAGGGTAGAGGGCTGGAGAGGACCCTAGACAGGCTAAGACAACAGAGAGAATTTGCCTAAACTCTGCATAAAATAGGACAGCAACAAGGGAGTAAGCATGCGCCCGAAAAAAGTGGGCTCACCAGGTTCTTATCAAGGGCTCACTTGGTAGTGGTTACATCCCACTTAGGTAGGTAACTACATCCCACTTAGGATAGGTGGTTTTGGCTCATGTAGGGTAGGTGGTTACGTCCCACATAGGGTAGGTGGTTACGTCCCACATAGGGTAGGTGGTTACGTCCCACATAGGGTAGGTGGTTACGTCCCATAGGGTAGGTGGTTACGTCCCACATAGGGTAGGTGGTTTCGTCCCACATAGGGTAGGTGGTTTCGTCTCACATAGGGTAGGTGGTTACGTCCCACATAGGGTAGGTGGTTTCGTCCCACATAGGGTAGGTGGTTTCGTCTCACTTGGTGTAGGTGGGTGGTTTTCCCCCACTTGGGCTGGTGATTTTGTCTCAAGGTGGTTGGCTTTGTCTCACTTGAGTTTGATAGTTTTGTCTCACATGGGGTGGGAATTTTTGTCTCACTTGGGGTAGGTGGTTTTGTCCTGTGCGAGGTCCTTGCCGGCCGTCTTGCCGAGCTCCTCCGTGGACTTGGTCACGTCCAGAATGTCGTCCACCACCTGGGCGCGCCCGCACGCACGGCGCAGACGAGTGGAGGAAAAGGTGGGGAAAGGAGGGAAGGGTGGGGATTGCTGGGGGGCCTCCAGTGTTGCTGGGGGGGCCGACGATGAGATGTGCGGGATTGATTGCATGGGGAAGATGACGATTCCATAATTCCGAAGCGGATGCAGTGGCACGTGTGCCACACACCATACTGCGTGCTGCTATCTATGACAGGACAAACTCCTGGTCAGACTCATACTATCCAATTGCCGATGCGCACATTCTTTGGCCTCACTGCAACAGCCTCAACCCCAACCCCCCCCCATTTCAGAATCCCACCTGAGGCTCACCCACCGCCATCTGAACGCAGGACTCTCCTCCCCTCGCAAAAATGGCAAGAGTAACTTGGGAAACACCCCACTTGCAGGTCAAGCCCCCCATGAGCGACTGACCTGCAAGGCAGCCCCGCGTGAGTGTGTGAGACTCACCTGGAAGCCGAGCCCAACGAACTGGCTCACCTGGAAGCCGAGCCCAACGAACTGGCTCACCTGGAAGCCGAGCCCAACGAACTGGCTCACCTGGAAGCCGAGCCCAACGAACTGGCTCACCTGGAAGCCGAGCCCAACGAACTGGCTCACCTGGAAGCCGAGCCCAACGAACTGGCTCACCTGGAAGCCGAGCCCAACGAACTGGCTCACCTGGAAGCCGAGCCCAACGAACTGGCTCACCTGGAAGCCGAGCCCAACGAACTGGCTCACCTGGAAGCCGAGCCCAACGAACTGGCTCACCTGGAAGCCGAGCCCAACGAACTGGCTCACCTGGAAGCCGAGCCCAACGAACTGGCTCACCTGGAAGCCGAGCCCAACGAACTGGCTCACCTGGAAGCCGAGCCCAACGAACTGGCTCACCTGGAAGCCGAGCCCAACGAACTGGCTCACCTGGAAGCCGAGCCCAACGAACTGGCTCACCTGGAAGCCGAGCCCAACGAACTGGCTCACCTGGAAGCCGAGCCCAACGAACTGGGCGTACTTGCGGAGGCGCTCCACCTGGTCGTCGTTGGCGCCGCCCAGCACGGCGCCCGCCACCACCGACACTTCGAGCAGCGCGGCCGTCTTGTGCACGTGGATGTACTCCAGCGTCTCCACGCCCACGGGGTTAGTTGCACTCTCCAAATCAACGATCTGCCGCGCGCACAAGGGGGAGGGATGGCTTTTGAGTCGACTCAAAAGCGGTCTTGTGCACGTGGATGTACTCCAGCGTCTCGACGCCCACGGACGGGTCGCTCTCGCTGTCCAGATCCACGATCTGCCAAGCGCGCATCAGGGCGGTTGCGATGGAGGGTGGGGGGGGAGCAGGAGGGGAGGGCATGGGGGTAAGACAACCTTGATTCCCCTATGTTCCATCTCACACTCTTGCCTCGAATTCCACTCGCTCCTCCCTTGGGCTCTGCTCCGTTCATGGAAGCGTCTGACTTGATTCTACTGCCAGACGTCTAAGCGGAACCTTACTCTGCAACCCTTTATACCCATTTTAATGGGCCGCTGCTTGTAGGGCCGCTGGAAAGTCCGCGACGATTGCACTTCAAACACACCATCTCAAACTTCAATCCACGCGCCCCCCCGCGACCCCCTCCCTCTCCCCCTTTCCCCGCCCTCCCCGCCCCCTGTGCGCGCACCTGGCCCGCGACGAGCCCCTCGGAGCCGACGGCCTTGCCCATGTCGGCGATCACGCGCACCACGCGCTCCGCCGGCACGGACGCGGGCGTGGCGCGCGCGACGTGCTCGAAGGCGAACGACAGCAGCGCGTCGCCCGCCAGCACCGCCACGTCCTCCCCGTACACCTGGCGGCGGGCGGAGGAAGGGGGGAGAAGGAGGGAGGGGAGATAGAGAGGGGGGAAACACGGGGGCGGTGAGGGCGCGAGATGATGGAAGAGAAAGGGCGGCTGGACGAAGGGAAAGCTGGCACGGTGACCCTTTCGTGGCTGGTTTCCTTTCAGCCACTCCGTTCGACCGAGGTGAATTTCCCACTTCCAACCCCATCCCGTAAGAATCCCCTATTCCCAACCCCCGCCTCTCCCTAAATTCCCGTAAGCGAACTCTCTCGGCACGAGACCGTGTGGTCGGCCCGAGAGCGTGTGCATTGGAGCGGCGGACCTTGTGGTTGGTGGGTTTGCCGCGGCGGAAGTCGTCGTTGTCCATGCAGGGCAGGTCGTCGTGGATGAGCGACATCGTGTGGATCATCTCCATCGCGCACGCCGCCGCCATCGCCACCGAGTCGCTGCCGCCCACCAGCTCGCACGCCGCCAGGCACAGGCACGGGCGCACGCGCTTGCCGCCGGCGAGCAGCGAGTAGCGCATGGCCTCGTGGATGCGCTCCGGGTACTGCAGCGGCACCGCCGCGTCCAGCGCCGCGTTGACGGCCTTGGCCTTGGCATACATGTACGCCTCGAAGTTGAAGGGCGCTGCAAGGGCGACATGGGGGACGGCGGAACACGTGCGGAAGGGGCGTGACGGGAGGATAGGGAATGACGCCAGAGATGGAAGGAAAAGGCAAAAGACAAGCAGGCGGGCGAGCAAGCGGTAGGCAAGGGGAAAGGGGAGAGAAATGTGTTGCTGCGATGAGGGAAGTCGATGACCCGTGAAGAACACATGCTGAGTCAGGACGCCCGCGCGGCCTGACCTATTCAGACTCGACACCTAAAACAGCAGCTAGATCATATACGTCATTCAGCAACTGAATCTGGCAACAACTCGCTAATCTTCGATTCTTTCCAAATGTCGTCTTTTCCACCGTACAGCCCAATTGCGGTGACGAGAGAACAGCGGCTGACGAAGCGCGACTGACCTGGCACGGCAGCCTGCTCTTCCACTTGCACCTCCTCCACAGCCTTGGCCGCCACGCGCACCGCCGCTCTCCGCCGTTGCGATCGCACTGACACGCGCTGTGGGGTGGCGAGCGCCAGCTGACGCGCGGCGGCGGCCGTCGAGTGTGAGGAAGACATCGGCGCGCAGCGGGCCGCGAGGCCGCTGGATGGTCTGGCGAGTAGCGCCTTGGACGCGGCGAGAGACGCCATTTCGATTCGTCTCAAAGCGGAATGGGCAAGGCGTGCACGGCAAGGAACAGCGCAAGACACAGCAGCCGCGAATATGCACGCGTAGTGCTGTCCTGATATACCCGGGGCACGGGGAAAGCAGCCGAAAAGAGAGAGGCCACGGCAACGAATTTGGGCGCGATACGCCGAGGAAGGAAGTGCGCAATCACACGGTGCGTGGCAGCGGGCGGTGTGAGGTGACGAAGGATGCAAGGAAAAAACGAGACGATAACTCCTAAGCTATCCGTTTCGCACCATTCCTTCGCGTCAACCGCAACAATCCCAAATCCCAATGTGCGGGAAGGATTGGTGACTTGGGGATGTTGGGGACGGGGGGCAGCTGACGGGGCAGGATGGGCCAATGATGTGGCTGCGGGCAGAGGATGGGGCAGTGAGCAGATAACGTGCGGTTACGTGCGCCAATGACGGCAGAGGAAATGTGAGGGGCAATCGACGGGAAAACCAATGGCCATGATTTCGCAAAGCATTCCCGACATCGAGGTTCGCGATTTTGCTCAATGTAGGCTAGCGCTGCACCAGCCAAGCAACTATAGTTCCGTCAGAGTTGCCCTATATCGAGGAACGCGCACCCCACAAGAATTTTCCGCAGACATTCAACCGCAGCTGTAGGATCCACTATGGCGGTGTTCGCCAGCACCTTTGAGATTGCTTGAAAATGGAAGGCATCAGGCTGGCAACGGCATCAGGAAGCGGGGCCGGAACCCTCCGAAAAGGTTTGGGCGAAATGCCACCCACGAACTTTCCAGCCCCGACATGAGAAACTTCTCAACCGCATATGGAACCCCACACCCCACCTTCCCCCAAAATGGGTCGAAATTTTGGCGCACTGACCTGTGCCTGCCCACACGCCAAAATCCACTGTACCAGGGTAAAAAACGGGGAAAAAAAACCCCATCTCCAGAACAACCCCCATCTCTCCTCGTATACAAACCCAATCCCAAATCTGGAGGATCCATCTAGTTTAGGTTTACGAAATGGACTCCAGCGTATCATTCGACCCCCTTATAGGTACTAGCAGAGGCAACAAAGGGAAGCGTATAGAAGCTACCAAGTACATTACGCATTTAATCGGCGATATCTTAGGCGGTTTGTGGGCCATCACTATGCTGCAGCGAGTTTCTCGATGTGTCACAGTCTACACCAGGGCCGACAAACACGACTTGTCAAGAGGCGGTCCAGCGTATGCTGATCACTTACTCCATGGTCATCCTGGAAGGGCGCATGGGGTTATGCGCATGGAGCCCTACCTCGTAACCCGCCTAATAAACATCCTCGTGAGTCGCGGGCTCCTCATCGAAGGCCGCAGCCAGACACCTGCCGAACAGTTACTGACCTTTCTACAGTTTCTAGGACAATCAGCATCAAATAGGGTGATGCAGGAGACTTGGCAGCGGAGCGGTAGCACGATAAGTCATACCATCCGAAACGTTGCGTGGGCCATTTGCTCGTTATACGACGAGTACATCACATTCCCAACAGCCAGCGATGACGGATATCTCGCTAGTAACCCCCGGTACAGGCACTTCGCAGGAGCCATAGGCGCCATAGATGGCACCCTGATCCCAGCGTGCATTAGAGAGAGTGAGCAGCAGTCATTTCTCGACCGACACAAGAACGTATCACAGAACGTGCTTGCGGCCGTGTCCTTCACCGGCGAATTCATATACCTCATGGTGGGCTTTGAGGGTTCGACACACGATTCCACCGTATGCCAGCACGCGCTTACCCAGTCGTTGGTGATCCCGAATGGCACATTTCTTCTCGCCGACTCCGGGTTTAGGAACGACCAGCATCTCCTAGCTCCATACAGGACTATCATGTACCACCAACGTCGATGGCAAGAGTCGGGGTTCCAACCCCAGAACAAGGAAGAGGTGTTCAACAAGACTCACTCGTCCCTTCGTTCGCATGTAGAGCGAGCGTTTGGACAACTCAAAGCCCGTTTCCCCATTCTCAAACACATGCGGCCCTACAGTTTTGCGTTGCAGTGTACTTTCGTGCAGGCATGTTGTATTCTTCACAACTACATCAAGAGACATGGCGGCGCAGACTATCTGGACGATGAGGAACTCCTAGTAGGAATTCATGAGCGAGAAGTGTGGGAGCGTAATGCACCTGTGCCACATCCAAGTGTGGGCCCTCGTACTTCAGCAAGAATAGGCGAGCAGCGAAGGGATGGCATAGCCGAGAGATTATGGGCAGAATTCGGAAGGCGTGACTGACAATAGGGCATGAAATGTTTAAGGCACAATGGTTATAGTTTAAGGCATAAATTGTCAACTAGACCTTCTAAGAAGTTTAAATAACTGTCATAACGTATAGACTATGTCTGGCTGCTGTCAACCCCAGCAACCCTGTTGATGTATGCTCGACGAGTCTCAGGACGCTGGCGAAAAAACACGGCCGCCTCAACCTGGTTGTTACTGAAGCGCTCACACACAATCGACCTCTGGATAGGTGTGAGGTCCTCCATGGCCTCCACCTCGTCAACAGCCTGCATCACGTGCGGGTATTCGTCTGCATGTCATGTGCACCATGCCAGTGCAGAGGGAAACGTAGGGGCAGATCAGAATTGCCGTGAGCACATGCTGGGGCGGGAAACAAATGGCCATGGTACACATGCCCTTTCAGAAACATATAAGAGAACAGTGGGGAAGAATAGGGGTGGGCCGACCGTAGCGCACCCGTGTGGCGCATTGTGATGCCACGCTCAGTCGCCACTGTGAGTACCTCTAGCTGATGTGCGACCGCGTTCCCGTCAGAGCGCTTACGGCGCTTGTTCCAGCTAGATGGCGAGGTGGGGCCGCGATCACTGTTTGCTGCGGTACCCTGGCCTCCTGGGGCGGGGGTACCCGCCGATGATCTGGTGGGACTCCGCGGATCCGCGGGGTGGCTACTTCCGCCACCATCACCTACAGCTCCACCCGCGTCCTCCCTACGTCCGCCAGCCCCACGTCCGCCAGCCCCACGTCCGCCAGCCCCACGTCCGCCAGCCCCACGTCCGCCAGCCCCACGTCCCCCAGCCCCACGTCCGCCAGCCCCACGTCCGCCCTCGGCACGTACGCCGTCCCCACGTCCGCCCTCCCCGTATCCTCCCTCCCCACGTCCGCCCTCCCCGGTTCCTCGCTCCCCACTTCCGCCCTCCCCGTTTCCTCCCTCCCCACGTCCGCCCTCCGCACGTCCGCCATCCCCACGTCCGCCCTCCGCACGTCCGCCATCCCCACGTCCGCCCTCCCCACGCCCGCCATCATGTCCGCCCTCCCCACGCCCGCCATCCGCACGTCGGCCATCCCCACGGCCGCCCTCCCCGTTTCCTCCCTCCCCACGGCCGCCCTCCCCGTTTCCTCCCTCCCCACGGGCGCCCTCCCCACTTCCTCCCTCCCCACGTCCGCCCTCCCCACTTCCTCCATCCCCACGTCCGCCCTCCCCAGGTCCCACCCCCCTCCGTCCGCCCTCCCCCCGTCCAGTTCCCCCCCGACCGCACTCCCCACGTCCGCCAGCCCCACGTCCGCCCCCCCCACGTCTCCCCCCACGTCCACCCCCTCCACGGCCGCTCCCCCACGGCCCCCCCACCCCGCGTCCCTGAGCCACACTTTCGGAAACCCCAACACTCAGCTCGACACGTCCTCCTTCCCCATGCCCGGTTCCCCCCTGTGCGCCACATCCTGGCCCGCCACCCCCCTGTGCGCCTTCCCCATGCCCGGTTCCCCCCTGTGCGCCTTCTCCAAGCCCGCCACCCCCCTGTGCGCCTTCTCCAGGCCCGCCACCCCCCTGTGCGCCTTCCCCATGCCCGGTTTCCCCCTGTGCGCCTTCTCCAGGCCCGCCACCCCCCTGTGCGCCTTCTCCAGGCCCGCCACCCCCCTGTGCGCCTTCTCCAGGCCCGCCACCCCCCTGTGCGCCTTCTCCAAGCCCTCCACCCCCCTCTGCGCCTTCTCCGAGATCCGGTTCATCACTCTCAGGGGCGTCACCGACATCCTCTTCACAGCCAGGGTCATTAACAAACGTAAGTGGGCCCGTATGACGATCAACGGCGTACCGTAATCGTCGACCACTCCTGTGGACGATTTGGGCAGCTAGTGAAAACCAAGGCGCGGTCTTGGAAGCCCATTTCGAGTATCGGGGCCAAATGTTTAGCCTCTCAAGCTTCTCCACAATCCCGAGCTGTAGGTACAAAGGGGAGGGGAAGTGTTTAACAAGTAAGCCGGGATGTTCTAAGCTCATGGCAACGACAGTTCCACAATGTGGGAGTAGGAGAATGTACGAGGTGTAGGTGCTGGTGTCTATGTTACCAGGGCGTCGCACAAATATGTTGCTTACTTCGGGAGGTGGGTTGAAGAAGTCCGTTTCAGGGTCGTAGCTGACACCCGTGGGTATTGTACTCTGTAGGTACCGAATATCCTTAACCCACCGTTTAACCACCCTAATATGGTTCTGTAGTTGGTCGCGATCGTATAGGTTTGGACCGTGCATGTCCACCCACTTGTCATGTACTTCAGTCCATTTCGTGATGATGGCATGCGGGGCCGAGCCGTTTTCAGCCTGAGTCTGAAGGACAATGTTCAGTAGGTCGATTGTAAGACTATCGTTCCACGGATGACGCCCTTGCTCTACGGTTTCACTTTCAACTACGTCGCAACTGCTATCAACGTCATCATAATCGGGGAGCAGGAAGTCTGTTACTCCTTGCGAAATTGCAGCTGCTGGAGGCAATGTAGCAGTAGTGGCGCGTCGCGCCTGGGAATGGACGTTTCTATGAGCTAATGCCACATTCGGAGCGCTGCTGGCAGGAACCGCGCTACGCGAAGGCGTTTGGGTCGTCCGTTCACGAGAGTTTCTCTCCTCACGCGCGGACCACTCCTGCAGTGTCGCGAGTAGATTGGGTCTATCCATGGCAAATAATTGCTGGTCGGAGTGCCTAAGACTATGGCGGTTATGCTAAGGGAGTAGGATTAGGGTTGTGATTGCGTAAGGGAATGCTAAGGACTTCGATCTGTACTAGTTCTGGACTAGAGCAGCCCGTGGTGTATTCGAGAGAGTGGAAAATTGGGTGTAAACGAGGGCCTATTCGTCACTCTGGTGGCTGTGGTAGTGGTTACCCTCTGACAGCCAATAACATCGCCAACCCACGGCAGTCCACGTGAAATGGTGGACTGCCACGGGATGGCATGAGACGGGATGTTTGCCTGGGGAGGAAGTTACACCCCCATTTCCGAATGCCATGTTTCCATCCGAAAACTGAGAAAAATGAGGGCGTTCGCCAGGCACCAAAGATTGCTTTAGGTTCGGACGGCATCCTAGCTTCGGCACGAATTTTACGGGCTGACCAGGCTGACGGAGCTTAACGAACCCTAACTGACGGGATCAGGAAGGCGTGACTGACCTTCCTGATCCCGTCGTTTTCGTTTTCATAATTGCTGGCGAACAGCGCCTCTGTTAGCCGCGAGTCTTCCTCGAACGCGGAATATACAGACAAAAGCACAACACTCTCCCACCCGCACCCTTTCTCCAACCAAACCACGCCTGCCTTGTTGTCTCCCCATCTCCCCATACATTTGATCTAAGCTCTCCCATTCGCTCCGCACCACTCCATTGCCCTACAATCGTGTTCACCTTCCCACCGCACCGCAACGACGCGTTGAGCGGTCGCGCGAGGCGATGGCGAAGAAGAAGGAGACGACGCCCAATAAGGGCAAGCCGGGCCACTCCATGGACGCCACGCGCCGCGAGGGCATGGGCAAGTCGTCGACTGGGCCGGGGTCGTCGATGCGGTCGGCGGCGACGGTGCGGCGGCTGGCGATGTACAAGACGCGGCCGTGGCGCAACAGCAAGGGCCATGTGCTGCATACGGACCTGCAGTCCAAGGCGCTCCCCAACACGCGCATCAAACCCGACCGCCGCTGGTTCGGTCAGCACCTCTCCTGGCGCCCCTCCCTTTTCTCCCTTCCCCCTACCGTCCGCCCTCCTCTATCCGTTCGCCGTGCTGACGTCAGCTGTGTGATGCGCGCGAAGTGCTGCAGAGTGACTGTTGAAGGCGAATAGTCGGTTTCACGGATTTACGTGCGGGCAGTCAGGTTGAAGCTGACGTGCCCTGTAACGCGTCGTGACTTCCAACTCCTCGTTTGTCCGCGCTCCGCTTATGTGCTTCAAAACTGGAAACCCGAAACCTCAAACCCTAGATTTGCGCGCGGTATTCAAGCCTTACAGCGATTTCCTTGCCCAGAACCGAACATTCACCCGCGTGGTAGCCCTAACTCCGTCTATATACCCCCCCTGCGAACCCAAAACCCTTGCACGGGTTGGCGCAGGCAACACGCGCGTGGTGGGGCAGCGCGAGCTGGAGCGGTTTCGCGAGGAGCTGGGCAGCAAGGTGTCGGACGCGTACACCGTCGTGCTCAAGCACCGCACGCTGCCGCTCTCGCTCCTCAACCACCAACCCCAGGTGCCACCCTCCCCCTTCCCTTCCTGCCCTCCCCTCCCGCTCAAACCTTCGCTCCTCCTTTCCTCCTGACACATTCCACTTTCTTCCCTTTGCCCCCCTCGGCCCCTTCCCCTCCCTCGGTCTCGCCCCACTTCTTCTCCCCTTCCCCTTCCCCCTCGTCCCCCCCCCAACTCCCCCCTCCCCCCCCAGGGCAAGGCGCGCGTGCACATAGTGGAGACGGAGCCTTTCCAGGACACGTTCGGGCCGGGCGCCAAGCGCCGCCGCCCAAATCTGGGCGCCGCCGCCGAGGGCTACGAGTCGCTGCTGCAGCACAGCGCGGAGAAACAGGGTAGGGGAAAGGGGGGGGCGGAGAAGTAGGGTAGGGGGAGGGGGCGGAGGGGGAGTTTGGGGCAGGGGTTAGGGCTGGATATTGCTGATAGCTGTTGCTCCCTTGTCTTCTCCCCCTTTTCCCTGCTCACCGACTCTCCCCGTTACCCTACCCCCCTCCTCCTCCCCTTCCTCCCCTCGCTCACATGGGGCGCGCAGAGTCGTTTGAGGGCAAGGCGGGCGGCAGCGAGGCGGTGACGCGCGCGCAGGACGCGGAGGACGGGGTGAGGGCGGTGGTGCGGCACAGCATGTTCGACAAGGGGCAGAGCCGGCGCATCTGGGGCGAGCTGTTCAAGGTGCTGGACTCGAGCGATGTGGTGGTGCAGGTGCTGGACGCGCGCGACCCCATGGGCACGCGCTGCACGTACCTCGAGAGGCACCTGCGCGACAAGTGCCCTCACAAGCACCTGCTGCTGCTGCTCAACAAGGTGCGTCAGGTCACCACTGCGCCTCAACCTGCGATTGGCTCTCGTGTGCGTGTGTGTGGAGTGGTGTGAGGTGCTGTCCCGCTGCCCCCCCGCCAATGCCGTGTCCCACCCCCTCACGTGCCATCTGCCACAATCCATTGCCCTCCCGCTCCCCTTCCTCTCCCCCACCTGTGCCCCCCGCCCCCCTTGTGCTGCACGGCCCTGTGCAGTGCGACCTGGTGCCGTCGTGGGTGGCCAAGGGGTGGCTCAGAGCGCTGTCCCGCGAGTACCCCACGCTCGCCTTCCACGCCTCCATCACCAACCCCTTCGGCAAGGTAACTACTCCCCGCCACCTGCGCTTCGGCAAGGTATTCTGAGGCGAGGTTAGGTGGGCGAGTGGGAGGGCGTTATCCGCGTGGAGCAGTGCATCGGTGCTGCCTTGCTCTGCTGCACCCGTTGCCTGCGTGTATCTCATGTGCACCTCATCATGCTCTGCACAAGCACCATGTGAAACTTGACTCTCCCCATCTGTGCGTGCATGTGGGCACTTGCAGGGGTCGCTGCTGTCGCTGCTGCGGCAGGTGGCGCGGCTGAAGAGCGACAAGCAGGCCATCAGCGTGGGGTTCATCGGCTACCCCAACGTCGGCAAGTCGTCCGTCATCAACACGCTGCGCACCAAAAAGGCAAGTCGTCCGTCATCAACACCCTGCGCACCAAAAAGGCAAGTCGTCCGTCATCAACATGCTGCGCACCAAAAAGGCAAGTCGTCCGTCATCAACACGCTGCGCACCAAAAAGGCAAGTCGTCCGTCATCAACACCCTGCGCACCAAAAAGGCAAGTCGTCCGTCATCAACACCCTGCGCACCAAAAAGGCAAGTCGTCCGTCATCAACACCCTGCGCACCAAAAAGGCAAGTCGTCCGTCATCAACACCCTGCGCACCAAAAAGGCAAGTCGTCCGTCATCAACACGCTGCACACCAAAAAGGCAAGTCGTCCGTCATCAACACGCTGCGCACCAAAAAGGCAAGTCGTCCGTCATCAACACGCTGCGCACCAAAAAGGCAAGTCGTCCGTCATCAACACGCTGCGCACCAAAAAGTTAAGCCCATCAACCCCTCCCTCACCTCATTCATCAGCGCGTCCCCTGTCGCAATCCCTCGCCCTTTTCATCTGCATCCCCCAACCTGTGTGAACCTGTGGCTGCACGCCCCTCACCCAAACACCCCTCACCCAAACACCCCTCACCCAAACACCCCTCTCCGCTCCTCACCCTTTCACCCCCCCCACCCGTCACCCCGCCCCCACAGGTGTGTTCGGTGGCGCCAGTGCCAGGGGAGACGAAGGTGTGGCAGTACATAACGCTGATGAAGCGCATCTTCCTCATCGACTGCCCGGGCGTGGTGTACGCGGACGCGCGGGACAGCGAGACCAACGCCGTGCTCAAGGGCGTGGTGAGGGTGGCCAACCTGGAGGACGCCGACCAGCACATCCCCGACGTGCTCGCCCGCGTCAAACCCGCTTACCTCACCCGCGCCTACGGCATTGAGAAATGGTCCGTGCCTTGCCTCGCTCCTCCCCCTCCCTCCTCTTTGTCACTGCTGCCCCTGCCTGCCTGCCTTATGCTGCTGCGTTGTGTGTGCGCCTGCCAGCTGCTCCATGCACCTCTTAGGCCCAACACCACCCCCCTTGCTCCTCACTGTAATCTCATCTCATTTCTTGCGCGTTGCTGTATCCCCACTCCTCCATGTCCCCCCCCATGCACGGTGCCCTATGCCCCACCAGGGAGGATGCGACGGACTTCCTGTCACAGATGGCCAAGCGCACTGGCAAGCTGCTCAAGGTGAGACCCGCGGGTCACTGTGTCTGCCGTTGTGTAACATTCCCTCTTCTTCCTTCAGCCGCATCACAGCCACCCACACACGGCGACACACACACGGCGACACACACATGGCCACACACACACAGTTACACACAGGCGGCCACACACACACGGCCACACATGGGAGCTGATGCAAAGCGTACATTGCATCAACTCTGCAAACCCCTTGCTGCCTCACTCCCCTTTCCATCCCCACTATCCTCCCTCAATCTCGTCCGTTCCACTCCCTCCCTCTACCATGTTGCTCTCTTCCTCCTCCCCCCCGTTCCTCCCGCCACCCCCTCAGGGCGGGGAGCCGGACGTGCAGACGGCGGCGAAGATGGTGCTGCACGACTGGCAGCGCGGCAAGATCCCCTTCTTCACCCCGCCGCCCGACTCCGACGCGCTCCCTCACAAGGCCGCTGGGGGCAAGGCCGCGGGGAAGCAGGGCGCTGAGGGGGGGGATGATGCGGAGGGGGCGGATGGGGTAGGGGCGGAGGGGGAGGCAGGGGAGGGGGAGAGTGCGGAGCGGCGGCAGGTGAGTGAGCAGATGGAGAAGATGACTGAGGTGCTGCGCGAGGTGGCGCGGCGGCAGCAGAACATGCGCGTTCCCACCAATGCTGGCCTGGCTTTCGATGAGGAGGACGCTCGGGGACAGGGCAAGACAGGCAGGCGGGTGAAGCGGAAGGGTGCGGGGGAGGGAGAAGGAGAGGAGGGGGAGGAGGAGGAGTTGGAGGAGGAGGAAGTAGTGGAAGAGGAGGAAGAAGAGGATGAGGAGGGCGAGGAGCGGGAGGAGGGGGAGGAAGTAGAGGAAGGAGAGGAGAGAGAGGAAGGAGAGGAGAGAGAGGAAGGAGAGGAGGTAGAGGCAAGTGCAGAGGGATCAGAGGATTCAGAGAAGGAAGAGGAGGCAGACGAAGGGAGAGAAGAGGAGGAGATGGGGGGAGGCAGAGGAGGAGCAGCAGGGGAGGAGGTTTCATGGGAGGAGCTGGTGTCGGGTGTGGGGTGGACAGTACCGCAGCCGGCCAAGGGGGGGCAAGGAAAAACAGAGCAGCAGCGCCCAGCAGGCAGAGGGTGTAAGGGGGGTGGGGGGCAGCAGCAGGAGGGGGTGGGACGGAAGGCGGAGCTGAGCAGAAGGGCGAGGGCAGCAGCAGCGAGGGCACAGAAGCAGGTGGAGGTGCAGGAGAGGAAGAGGGAGTGGAGTGGTGCACAGGACAAGGGCAAGGGGAAGGGCAAGGGCAAGGGCAAGAAGAGGAAGGACATGTGAGGGGGAGAGCGGCGCGTGGATAGAGAACGCCCTGCCGGCGTGCCTCTCATGTGCCTCTCATGTGCCTCTCATGTGCCATTGGGAAGCGACAGCATCAGCACGATACAAGGGCAGCTCCCAGTGCACGCAGCTGTTGGCAGCCCTGATAAAAAAAAACGCACTTGCTATTGTTGACGCTCATGTCACAGGTTCTCGTGTTGCCAATGCATTATTTGTTTCTCCAGAGTGTGCACAACCAAATCAAGGCACAGTGCTGTTTATTTGAATGAGCCTTTGCATTGATTGACCCTTGCATCACAGCACCACCACAGGCATCATATATTTGTTTCATAACATGGAACATCCAGAACGAGGAATGAAACACCACCACGGGGAAGCTATTTGGGGTGAGAGCGCTGGGTCTTGGCGCAGTGCGGGCAGAAGAGGCAGATGCGGTAGCCCTGTGGCCACTTGGCTGGGTCCACCTGCCATAGAGGGCAGCGTGGGGAGGCGGGCGGTGGGATTGGCAAGGGATTGGCACAGAGCACAGGGCAGGGGGGGGGGGCATTGCTGGACAAGGGTACAGAAGTGTTGCAAGAAAGGGAGCTTGCGAATGCTGTCAGCAGACAGGGTGGCTGTGATGGCAGTGCGAGCCAGCAGACGAGGGTGGCTGTGATGGCAGTGCGAGCCAGCAACAGCCATGCATGCCCCAGCAACAGCCATGCATGCCCCAGCAACAGCCATGCATGCCCCAGCAACAGCCATGCATGCCCCAGCAACAGCCATGCATGCCCCAGCAACAGCCATGCATGCCCCAGCCACTGCCGTGTGGCCGCACTGCCGCCTTTGTGCCCCTCCACTCGCCCACTCATCACACTCCCCTGCCCGTGCACCACCACGCCTCTCCGTGCCTCACACCACGCCCCTCTGTGCCTGCCGCCACGCCCCTCTGTGCCTGCCGCCACGCCCCTCTGTGCCTCACACCACGCCCCTCTGTGCCTGCTGCCACACACCTGCCCGGCGAGCAGCGCGACCTGCTCCTTGTAGAGCGCCCTGACATCCGCCAGGTCGGCCTCGAGTTCGTCCACGCGCTCGTTGCGCTCGCCCACCATCACCAGCGCCACCTCGTGCCGCGCCCTCAACCCCGCCAGCTCCGCTTCCAGTGCCGGCACCGCCACTTGCTCCTGGTGGGGGGAGGGGAGAGAGCACAGGGACGGGTTGAGGAGAGAGGGAATGCTGTGAGCATGGTCCTGGTGCGGAGCAGCAATGCTTGCGTTCCCACTGCTTCCCAAACCTTCTCAAGCCCTCTCCGCATGCCTCCAACGCACCACCACCAAATGCCCCTCCACTTCCATCCAACACTCACGCACTTTGCCCCACCACCCACTACTTCCCTCGCTTCCGCAGCCCCTCTCCCCCATCCCCCATTCCCCCCACCTTCTCGAGCGCCAGTAGGCGCTGGGACACGCGCAGCAACTCGTCCGCCGTGGCGTCCCTGGCTGCGCGCGCCTCCTGCACCTCCCGCTGCAGCTGCCGCACCTCCCCCTCCTGCTGCCTGCCCGCCCACCAGGGAAGTGGGGGCCAAGGGAGAGGGGTTAGGATGTGACAGTGCGGGATCATGCTTGAGTGGCGACAGCGAGGGTGCGCTTCCCTGCACGCACTGCATGCAGCCCCGTCGGCAGGGCAGGCAAGGGGGCAGCAGTGAAGTGTGTGAAACGGGCCTCTGGTTGCTATGCTTGTGGCTCCATCCCCCCATGTTGTGCCAACACATTACAGTGGCACGGTCATCGCACTCCCATTCGGCCTACAAGCTTGCTCAGCTTCTGGAATTTTGTGGGGAGGTTGTTCAACATGTGATATTCAAACCCTCAAAGTTTCAGAGTTTTTGAAGTAGTTACCAAGGCATGACAGCATTTTATGTTTCAAGACTTATGACATCCCGGAAGTGTGTGTTACTCTTTTTTTTTAACACCCGAGTTCACCATTTCGGCTACTGACTCGTCTACGGAGCTCTGATTGGTCTGCAATTCGAACTTGCAGTCTTTTGCCCCGTTGTGCAGGTGGTCACCAAGTTTCAGAACGATCCAACATCGGAGCATTGCGTGACAGATGTCGAAAGTCACTGTTCCGTAGTCATGGTACACTGTTGGCAGCATTTCTCTTGCCACCCTTTCATTGTTGTCATGCCAATGGTGCAGAGACAGAGAATGAGACAAGAAGTACAGGTGGTCAAGTGGGACTCTACCACCCTCTTTTTGAGAAGTATGGTCTTCCTGGAAGCAGCTTGCAAGAGGGTGCAAGTGGGAAGACAAGCTGGCTCATGTTGGCTTGACTCACTATTGGTAGCCTTGAGTACAGCTCTGAACATCCAAGTGTGGTTGGCTTTGCTAACCTAGCTAGGACGTTTCCCATCTTTCTCTAGCCTTTCTCCCCTAAGACTCAACTTTCTCTGAGTTTCCAGGATGACCTAACCCCTTATGAGTCCCTTAGGCAATGTTGTACTCACCTCTTCTTTGCATCAATGAAATACACGTTTTTCAGCCGAGCTTACTTTTTCGTTCACAGCGTAGCGCATACACCTCTGGGGAGAACAAGCAATACACCGTTGGAAAGCAGACACCTAAGGCTAACTTCTATCCAAGTTTCAGCCTCATGTGTTATTGGAGCTGATCGTGACGGCGTTTTGAACAGAGGCGGGTTGAAGACGTCAGATTTTGCTTAGGCGGTTTCATGGGCATCCGCGACCTTTAAAGTGGACTCTTGACTATAACACCCCATTCACCCTACGCTCGCCCTTCATGCTTCTACCATGCTGAAGTGCGAAGGCAGCAGCCCAGTTGAAAGCACAGGTGTGGAACCGAAAACAACTCTTGAGAGACAAGGCAGGAGGCAGAGAGGGCGTGAGAGGCGGCGGGGGAAGCGGGAAGAGGCGTTCTATAACAAGTGGTATCAAAGCTGTTCTACTCTGTTCGTGGGTGAATATGGAGGCTGAAGGTTCTGCTCCAGCTGGTCCCAGTGGCAGTGGTGGCGTGAGAGGCGCCGGGGAAGCGGGAAGAGGCGTCGCAGGCGGATCTGCACCAATAGCTTTCGTTTCAACATCAGGTAAGGATGATGTGAAGGCATTCAACCTAGAGAAGTTTTTTTGGGAGGATTGGGCATCATGGAGCTTCAGGATGGAGCTCCTCTTCAACCATTATGGGCTGCTTGAAGTGATGGATGGAGAATTGAAGAGGACCTGCGAGCGAAGGAGCGACCAAAGAATGGGATCGCCGGTCCAGGGATGGATTATTTTTTCTCTCTTAATGCCTCTCATCCAACCAGCTGCACCACATCAAGCATCTCATCAAGGAAGTTGAGTGTGGTCATAAGACATGGAAGATATTGAAGGATGTCAATGCCCCCAGTAGCGAAGCTATAGTGGTGGTGTTCGAGCGACAACTCCATGCGGTGAAGATCAACGAGGGTGATGCCGTACAAGGAGCGTTTGATCAACTCAGGGACCTCTATGTGAAGCTCTCTGCTGCTGGTATGGACTACCATGAGAAAATCAAGTGCTACAAGGCTCTCTCCCTGCTGCCAGAGTCGTGGGGGCCCTTGGTGGTCAAGTTTAATGGCATGAAGGACTCATGGTCCTTTGAGTGGATTCGCGCGCAAGTTCTTCAAGAGGAGTTTCAGAGGAAGGAGCTGACCGCCGCTGCCGGTGAAGGCGGAGGTTCAGCCTACGGCATGAAGGGCTTCAAGGGGCGTGGCAACAAGAAAGGCAAGGCCAAGAAAGGCTCTGGAGGGGAGCAGCATTCGGGAGGGAAGCGTGTCAACAAGGGAGGCAAGCGGTGTGGCGGCAAGTGTTGGTTCAAGTGCCGCAAGCTACCTGACGGTTGGAGGCCTGATCAGCCATTAATTGAGGGCTCCAAGGGTGTTCATGGAGCTATGGGAGAAGGCATGGGCAGTGAGGAAGGCGATGGAGGTGCTGGCGGATACGGCGGCATGTTCTACCATGTAGGGGAGGCGTGCCCCGAGGACATGGTTGTGCCGGCCAGCAAGATAGCGCTTCACCGCTCCTCCCATTGGGTCATCGACACGGGAGCCTTCATCACCATGACCAATCGAGAGGATCTACTGGATGAAGTTAGACCATAAAAAACAACCACCGTCGTTTCAGTCACCTGCCAAGTTGTACCCGTGCGTAGCGAGGGGAGAGCCATGTTCATGGGTGCGGATGAGAGGCTTGTGGGGCTGAAGCGTGTTCTCCTTGTTCCTGGATTGTGTGCCAACCTCCTCTCTACCAAGGCCCTAAGTGAGGTAGGGATGAAGATGGAGATGTTGGGCACAAAGGTTTTCAAGACAACTCTGCATGGGCGCGTGTTGTGGGACCTCCGAGGCGGCAAGGACATGCACCGGTCCATGTGGGAGATACCGGTGCTGCCATGGAAGGAGGCGGCTGCGCGCTTGGCTGCTGGAGGTGTGAGAGGAGGACGTGTTAACCACGTGGACAATGGAAGAGGTGGTGATGATAGTGATGGTGGGCTCCTTGGGCATGGAGGGGCTGAGCTACCAAGTGTAGCTCCTAGCAGGGGTGAGACGGATTGGCTCACCGCACACCAACGCTTTGGCCACGTGGCGCTACCTCAGTTGCAGCAGCTGTTTAAGGAGGAAAGAGTCAAGGGGCTGAGGATAAAGAGGGAGCCCAAGGAGGTGGGATCTTGTGAGACTTGCTTGACCAGCAAGTTTTCACGGTTTCCCTTCCATTCGGTGGAGGGGAAATCGAGCGACCCAATGGAGCTCGTGCATGTGGATCTCGTGGGACCCATGAAGGTGAAAGGAGATGGTGGGGCCATGTATTCCATGACCATGGTGGATGACAACACAAGACTCACCTGGTCTTTTCCACTTGCAAATAAAAGTGATGCTGCAAGGATCATCATTGAAGAGTGGCTGCCCTTGGTGGAGCGAGAGAGCGGCAAGCGGGTGAAGGCGATTCGTAGCGACCGTGGTGGGGAGTTCTTGGGAGCGAAGTTCCGGAGCTGGCTGAAGCGGCACGGCATCAAGCAGCAGCTCACCACGACCTACACCTCTCAATCCAATGGCGTGGCAAAAAGAGCGAACCGGACCATCTTGGAGGGCGGGAGAACGATGTTGGTAGACTCGGGTCTACCCTTACGGTTCTGGCCCTATGCTATTCGCCATGCCACCGTCATCAAGAACGGAGTATTGACTCATGTAGGAGGGCAGCATTGGGTCCCTATGGAGAAATGGAGAGGCAAGAAGCCTCTGGTGGATATGCTTCGCGTCTTCGGGTGCATGAGACTCGTGCACGTCCCTAAGGAGAAGCGTGACAAGCTTCAAGCGGCGGCGGCGTGGGCTGTTCATTTGGGACTTGCACAAGAGAGCAAGGGGTGGCTCATGTGAGACCCAAAAGCCAACACCATCTTCACCACCACAGATGCCAAGTTCATGGAGGGGCTCATGTTCAAGGAGTGGTTGGAGCGAGGGAGGAGCAAGGTCACCATTCCGCTCGGAATAGAAGTGGGAACGAATGACCCACTCCTCATTCCCATCGAGTTGTCTTCATTTTCAGAGGTAACGGAGGTGTCACATGACTTGGGAGGTGCTGAAGGGGAGGCAGCGGAGGTGGAGGGAGTGTTGCAGCAAGAGGCGGTCCCTATAGCTGAGAGAGGTGCTGCCGGGGAGGAGGTGCAGCAGCCTACACCATCCCTTTCACTTCCACCAAGGCGGACAACCCAGGGGAAGCGTGGTGCTGTCCGCGGTGGAGCTAAGTAGGGTGCAGCCAAGGAGAGGCCCAAGAGAGCTGCTCACCCAAAGGATTTCCTCAAGTATGAAAGGCTTGGGGGTCTCAATGCATTGCTGGTCCAGGAAGAGGAAGATGAGGAGAAGGGAGCCGAGGGAGAGATGGAGCAGATTTATTGCTTTGGTGTCAACTTACCTCATGAACCGGTTTCAATGGAGGAAGGACTTGCTAGAGATGATCGAGAGGCTTCGTTGGCTTCAAGAGAGGATGAGTTTCAGGGCCTCATGGAGAATGGAACATGGACCCTCACTAATCTGCCCCCAAGAAGAAAGGCATTGGATTGCACGTGGATATTACGTGTGAAAACCGATGCGGAGGGGAAGTTGGAGAGGCGCAAAACAAGACCTTTGATCAAGGGCTTCCAGCAAAGGGAGGGGGTTGACTTTAAGGAGGTGTTTGCTCCTGTTGCCAAGGCTCCTACGCTCCGGGTGTTGCTAGCAGCAGCTGCCGTTTGTGGTTGGAAGGTGGAGCAAATGGATGTGAAGACGGTTTTCCTCTATGGCGTGGTAGATGAGGACATCTACATGAAGCAGCCAGAGGGGTACGACGATGGGAGCGGACGTGTTTGCAGGCTCAACAAGGCCATCTATGGCCTCAAACAAGCTCCAAGGTGCCGGTATGCAAGGCTGATGGAAGCGTTGGAGGCTCTTGGCTTCAAAGTCAGCGGGTGCGACGAGAGTCTCTTCATAACCGAGGGGGAGGAGGAGAAGGTGTTTCTCCTTGTCTATGTCGATGACATTCTCTTCTTCTCTCCATCTCTAGAGAGGATCAAGGAGGTGCAAGGAAAGCTGAAGGAGACCTTTCAATGCAAGGCCCTTGGACCGTTGGGGTATTAACTTGGTCTTCACGTGTAACGGGACGAGGTGAAAGGATGGTTGAGGCTTCACCAACTCAAGTACCTTGCAGCCATGAGGGAGAGGTATGGGCTGGAGGAAAGGAGGGGTGTGAAGACTCCTCTACCCTCACGGTTTTAGCTACACTTTGATGAAGAGGAGGGTGAGGTGTTGGAGCCCGAGTTGCAGCGTCGGTTCTAGTCAATGGTGGGGAGCTTGATGTATGCTTCGGTCAACACTCGCCCCGATATTTCATTCGCGGTTTCGCAGCTAGCTCGTGTGGTGTTTAGGCCCCTTCAAGAGCACCTTGATGCAACAGAGAGGCTGGTGAGGTACTGCATGGCAACCTTATGGGTGGGGCTGCAATATTCAGTGCATGGGCAGCTGAAGCAAAAGGGAGTGGAGGAGGTGAGCACGAAAACCGGTGCACCTGCAAGGCGTGGACACTTGTACCTATCGTGCTTCACCGATGCTACCTGGGCAAGTGACATTAGTGATGCAACATCCCATGGTGGCTATGTATGCTGTGTTGGAGGGAGTCCAGTGAATTGGAAGTCTAAGAAGCAAGTGGAGATAGCTCACTCATTAACGGAGAGCGAGTACATGGCGTTGTTTCATGGGGTGAAGGAGGTGGTTTGGATGAGGAAGTTGCTTGAGGAGTTGGGGCAGGAGCAAGAAGGTCCTACACCTGTATTTTGTGAAAGCCAAGGAGCAATTGCAATGGCTCGCAATGCTGTGCTCCATGGGCTGAACAAGCACATGCATATCAAATGGCATTGGGTGAGGAAGGAGGTGAAGAAGAGCACGGTCTCCTTGCACTACATCAACACTACCAAGCAACCTGCAGATTTCTTGACCAAGCGGCTTGCAGAGCATCAGCATTGGACCTGTGCCACCTTGTATGGCATGTCTTTCAACCAGGGGAGGCAATTTCAGGGAGCAGCTAAGGGATGAATGAGAGCACGATGAGGGGGAGTTTGTTGTGCCAACACATTACAGTGGCACGGTCATCACACTCCCATTCGGCCTACAAGCCTGTTCAGCTTTTGGAATTTTGTGGGGAGGTTGTTCAACATGTGTTCTTCAAACCCTCTAAGTTTCAGAGTTTTTGAAGCAGTTACCAAGGCATGACAGCATTTTATGTTTCAAGACTTATGGCATCCCGGAAGTGTGTGTTACTCTTTTTTTTGTAACACCCGAGTTCACCATTTCGGCTGCTGACTCGTCTACGGAGCTCTGATTGGTCTGCAATTCGAACTTGCAGTCCTTTGCCCCGTTGTGCAGGTGGTCACCAAGTTTCAGAACGATCCAACATCGGAGCATTGCGTGACAGATGTCGAAAGTCACTGTTCCGTAGTCATGGTACACTGTTGGCAGCATTTCTCTTGCCACCCTTTCATTGTTGTCATGCCAATGGTGCAAAGACAGAGAATGAGACAAGAAGTACAGGTGGTCAAGTGGGACTCTACCACCCTCCTTTTGAGAAGTATGGTCTTCCTGGAAGCAGCCTGTAAGAGGGTGCAAGTGGGAAGACAAGCTGGCTCATGTTGGCTTGACTCACTATTGGTAGCCTTGAGTACAGCTCTGAACATCCAAGTGTGGTTGGCTTTGCTGACCTAGCTAGAAAGTTTTCCATTCTTCTCTAGCCTTTCTCCCCTAGGACTCAACCTTCTCTGCGTTCCCAGGATGACCTAACCCCTTATGAGTCCCCTAGGCAATGTTGTACTCACCTCTTCTTTGCATCAATGAAATACACGTTTTTCAGTCGAGCTTACTTTTTTCGTTCACAGCGTAGCGCATACACCTCTGGTGAAAACAAGCAATACACCGTTGGAAAGCAGACACCTAAGGCTAACTACTGTCCAAGTTTCAGCCTCATGTGTTATCGGAGCTGATCGTGACGGCGTTTTGAACAGAGGCGGTTTGAAGACGTCAGATTCTGCTTAGGCGGTTTCATGGGCATCCGCGACCTCTAAGTGGACTCTTGACTATAACACCCCATTCACCCTACGCTCGCCCTTCATGCTTCTACCATGCTGCAGTGCGAAGGCAGCAGCCCAGGTGAAAGCACAGGTGTAGAACCGAAAACAACTCTTGAGAGACAAGGCAGGAGGCAGAGAGGGCGTGAGAGGCGGCGAGGAAGAGGGAGAGGGAAGGAAGCCCAGCCCAGCACACAGCGCCCACCTGACTTTGGCGCGCAGTCGCTCCAAGCCCACCCCGCCCGCTGCCATGCCCCACCCCCCCACGTCCAGGTCGCCCAGCCGCACCGCACCGCCTCCCACCCCCTCCCCCGCCTTCGCCCCTCCCACGCCTACCGCACTGCCCTCCCCCGTCCCACCCCTAGCACTCCCCCCCCCACCGCCTGGCCTGCTGTTGCCCGTCAGCCCCTCATCCCCCCGTGCCGCCCGCCCGCTGCTGCCTGCACTGCTGCCCTGGGGGCTGGGTGGGCGAGGGGAGTGCGAGAGGGAGAGGGCCGAGAGGGGTGGCAGCGGGGTTGGGGACGAGGGGGCAGGCGATGCTGCCACGGCTGTGTTGTGGGGCGCTGCTGCTGCTGCGAGGGGCACGGCCTGGGAGGAAGGGGGGCGCACCAGACACGGGGGGAGAGGGGGATGCAACTTTGGATGAAGCAAGAGCAGCAGAGGTGCGGTGATGAGTTAAGGCCACCGGATGGGCATAGCAGGAGAAAATAGGTCTCCATATTGGGGCGTTTGGTTCCATCGACTTACCGGCATCTCAGCCCCTTCTTGCTGCTGCTGCTGCCCCTTGCTCCCGCCACTACCCTTGCCCTCTCGCCCCCCTTCCCCAACCCTGTCATCGCCCTCTGCTCCTCGCCCCCGCCCTGCCCGCTCCATGTCCCGAATGCGTCTGAGAGCCTCGTCTCTCGCCTCACGTGCCGCCTGCAGCGCTGCTGCTGCCTCCGCCCTCGCATGCTCCGCGATGCCCTCCCTCTCCCCCGCCGCCTGCGCCGCCTCCCGCAGTTCCTGCCCGCATGCAGGGCCGTGGGGGGGGGGGGAGGGGAGGAGAGGGAGGGAGGTGAGAAGAGGTGGGTGGAGGAGGGTAAATTGGGCTCAGCTGAATGGCACACAGGCGGGTGGGTGTGATGCAAGAAGATGGCGGCAAGGGGCCGGCACGCTCACAGCAACCCTCTTTGTTGACCCATGGGCGGGTCCCCCCCACCCACCTCTTGCTGCTGCTGCAACTCCTGCAGTCGCTTCACTGCAGCCTGCGCCTGCCTCTCTGCCTCCTCCCGTCCCCTCGCTGCCTCACCTGCCCCCCTCTCCGCCTGCCCCGCCCTCTCCTCCGCCCTCCTGCGCCCCTCCTCTGCGTGGCGCCACCGCTGCTCCCACTGCTGCTGCTGCTCCTGGTGCACGCGCTCGCGCTGCTCCTCCTCCTGCTCCATCCGCCTCACCTGCGCCACCATGCCCTCCATCTGATGCGGACACGAGGGAAGCAGGGAAAGCAGGGCGGAACGACACACAGGGAGACGGTTAGGAAGCCATGAGAGAGCGGGAGAGAGGGACGTGGTTGAAAGAAACTGTGCCCGTGACTGTGGCTGACTGTGACTGCGACTGATTGAGAATGACTGTGACTGAGACTGTGACTGACAGTGACTGTGACAGGAAACTTGCCTGCCTCAAAAGAGGTTGAGTTGCTGCTGTGATGTGCGTGCTGACGTCACCATGAGCTGTCTCCGCCAGCTGGCACCGATTCTTGAGAGCCGCTATCTGATGGCAGAGGGGGAGGGCAGGGCGAGAGGGAGGAGATGAGTGGCTGGAGGCGCCACAAAGCATGAGAGAAAACACCAGCGCGGCTCCACAGCAACCCTCACAGCGACCTTCAGAGCGACTGTGAGACGAGCAGCTGCTTGGCACTGTTGCATGCACAGATGTGCACGTTCCTACATAGCACATGGTGGGTGTCACAGAGCGTTCTGGGTTACTTGCACTACACACACCCTCCTACTGCCTCCTTTACACATACTCAGAATGTGCCAGGTCTCTCACATACACGCGTCTCCCATGTGCCTTGCATCAGCGACCAGCATACCTCTTGCACCAGCGACCAGCATACCTCTTGCACCAGCGACCAGCATACCTCTTGTACCAGCGACCAGCATACCTCTTGCACCAGCGACCAGCATACCTCTTGCATCAGCTTCTCTTCTCGCTGCACTGCCTCCCTCTCTGCCTCCGTTGCCCTCTGCCCAATGGAAGGACACATGGGTGCTGAGAGTACTGCAGATTCCACAACACATCTTTGCTACGAGGAACAGATATGAGGACCAAGATATGAGGACCAAGATATGAGGACCAAGATAGAAACATGAATGAAAAAGACACTTGACACAAGGAGCATGACTGGCATGAAAGGAAAGGAAAGGAAACACGGCATGGCAGACGACACCAGAAGACACGAGTGAGGCAAGGCGTGGAGGGGAGTAAGGGGGGCACCTGGGCGAGGGCAGTGAGAGCAGCTGTGAGGTGGCTCTCCTTGTCAGCCGCCTGTGCCTCGAGTGCCGCCCGCTGCTGCCGCATCTCCTCCCTCACCGCCTCCACCGCTGCTGCCCTCTCCTGCGCTCCCTCTGCCACCACCTGCCCTCCACCCCACACAGGGTCACAGTAGTAGAGGCAGTATGCAGTGAGAGGCAGCAGAGGCAGTGCGGGGCAGCAGAGGCATTAAGAGACAGCAGGCACGGGCACATCCAACCAAAGCAGACCACCCAACAGAGCAGAGCACCTGAGCCTCACCTTGAGCACCTGAGCCTCACTCTGAGCACCTGAGCACCTGAGCTCACCATGAGCACCTGAGCCTCACCCGCAGCAGCTGGTCCTTGTGGTGCTGCAGCGCCTGCCTGGTGGCTGCCAGTGCCTCGTTGGCCTCCTCCAGCAGCGACGACCTGCCACGCACGGATGGGGGGGGAGAGACAGCCAGAAAGGGGGGCACACATGCATGCACGCACACATGCATGCACGCACACATGCATGCACGCACACATGCATGCACGCACACAGACACAAAATTATGCAAGCCTGTATGCACTGAAACATGCACTAGCAGACATGGCCAGGCACAAACAATACGTAAGAAAGAAACATCGATACAGAAGGACGGGATGAGAGAGATTGCAGTGCAGAGAATGGGCACGTTAAGGAGAGATGAAGTGAAGATAATGTGTTGATGGGTGTGAGGTGAGAGCTCATGTGGGACGAGGAGGATGAGGTTGGGGGCGGACCTGGTGGCGTCTGCGCTCTGGGCTGCCGCCTCCAGCGCCTGCAGCAGGGCAGAGCGGCGGAGCACAGACACACACATGCATGGCACAGGGGCTGTGTGGGCGGCCGTATAGGCGGTAGAGAGACCAGACAAGGGTGGAACGACACAAGGAAGGCTGCAGAAGGAAAGTAGACAGGGGAATTCAAAGAGGGAAGAGGAGATGACCTGCTTTGTGGCGAGCAGCCGGTCTCTGTCCGCCTCCACGCGTGTCAGGTCCTGCCGCTGCCTGGCCACCACCGCCTCCCTCTCCTCCACCGCCTGCCGCAGTGCCTCACTCTCCCGCTCGCTCTGATGCCCGTGCCAGTGGAAGGGGGGAGGGGTAGGAGAGGGGGATGGTTGTTGTGCAGTGGAGAGAAAGGGGAAGGGATGAAGGAGGGGAGAGGAAGGCATGAGGGCAGGCATGATGGCTGAAGCAAAAAAGCATGGAGCACGCAACACGTGAGTAGAGGGATGATGAGTGATGCAGAGGGTTGATGAGCGATGCCAAGGCAAGGCGAGCAGTGAAAGGCAAGCAGAGCCCGTGTTGTGTTGGGAGGGCGGTGCTCCCACCTGGTGCAGCTGAGCGTCCCTTTCCGCCATCTCCCCCTCCATCCTCGCTGCTGCCTGCCTCTGCTCCTCCACCAGCCGCCTCAACCCAAAACACTCCTCCCTGAACGCATGCACCTGCACGGGGCCCACACACCCCACGCACACCCCACGCACACCCCACGCACACCACACGCACACCATGCACCCCACACACCACACGCACCCCACACGCACACCCCACACACACCACACACACACCACACGCACACCATGCACCCCACACACCACACGCACACCACACGCACACCACACGCACACCATGCACCCCACACACCACACGTACACCACACGCACACCACACGCACATTATGTGTGAGAATTGAACCGATGAGTTGATTAGGAATGATGAGGGCTAACATAGTTGGAGCTAAGGAAAGGGGGGTGGTTGGTACCTAGCCAACATTATTGGCCCCCACCAATAAGTTGGGTTGGAGAATTATTGGGGGGTCCCAATAATGTTGGTCAAAGTGGGCCAACATTATTGGGGGGGGCAATAATCCTCCAACCCAACCTTGGGGTCCAATAATTGGGCCAAGGTTGGGTTCCAACCCCCACCTAAGGTTAACCCTAGTTGTGCACCCAAACATTGTTTGGGTGCCTATCTCTATCCTAGGGTTTATAGGATCAATGCAGGATACAGAAGAGTAGTATAATCTAACATTATGCACCCCACACACCACACGCATACCACACACACACCACACGCACACCATGCACCCCACACACCACACGCACACCACACGCACACAACCAAGCACCACACGCACAGCCAGGAGGGAACGCATGCAGGTGGGCAGCATCGGGCGCGGGAAGGCAAATGAGAAGCTGTTTGCCCGGATGGTGAGTCACGGGTGCGCAGACAGAGGGGCACGCCAGGCCATTCATGTGTGCTTGTGCAGCAGCTCTGTGGGCTGTGCGTCCTTCTCAGACAAGTGCCACTCACGCCCTTCTCAGTCAAGTGTCACTCACGCCCTTCTCAGTCAAGTGTCACTCACGCCCTTCTCAGTCAAGTGCCACTCACGCCCTTCTCAGTCAAGTGTCACTCACGCCCTTCTCAGTCAAGTGCCACTCACGCCCTTCTCAGTCAAGTGCCACTCACGCCCTTCTCAGTCAAGTGCCACTCACGCCCTTCTCAGTCAAGTGCCACTCACGCCCTTCTCAGTCAAGTGCCACTCACGCCCTTCTCAGTCAAGTGCCACTCACGCCCTCCTCAGTCAAGTGCCACTCACGCCCTTCTCAGTCAAGTGCCACTCACGCCCTTCTCAGTCAAGTGCCACTCACGCCCTTCTCAGTCAAGTGCCACTCACGCCCTTCTCAGTCAAGTGTCACTCACGCCCTTCTCAGTCAAGTGCCACTCACGCCCTTCTCAGTCAAGTGCCACTCACGCCCTTCTCAGTCAAGTGTCACTCACGCCCTTCTCAGTCAAGTGCCACTCACGCCCTTCTCAGTCAAGTGCCACTCACGCCCTTCTCAGTCAAGTGCCACTCACGCCCTTCTCAGTCAAGTGCCACTCACGCCCTTCTCAGTCAAGTGTCACTCACGCCCTTCTCAGCCAAATGCCACTCACGCCCTTCTCAGCCGCATGGCACTCACGCTTTTCTCAGCGGCGTTGAGGCGGCGGGTGAACTCCTCATGCAGCTCGCGCAGCTCCTGCTCCGCCTCCTCCAATGTGCGTCTCCCCGCGCCCCCCCCGCCCCCTCCCTCGCCCCCCTGTGCGCCCTCCAGTGCGCGCTGCAGGTCCTCCTTGAGGCGCTCGTTCTCCGCCTGCCACGGCCAGCGCCAGGGGGCGAGGGGGAGGGGGGTGGTGGGGGGATAGGGGAGCGACAGGGGAAGGGACGGGAAGCTGAGAGACACGGAGGGCGGATGGGCAATGGGCAGCAAGAAGAGGTGGTGGGGCACACGGATAGAGTTGGAGTTGGTGGTGCATTGGTGTGAGCGGGCGAGGCGAGCGCAGACATGGCGGAGGAGGATGGCTGCACATGGCACGATCCATGCAGCACATGGCACGATCCATGCAGCACATGGCACGATGCATGCAGCACATGGCACGATGCATGCAGCACATGGCACGATGCATGCAGCACATGGCACGATGCATGCAGCACATGGCACGATGCATGCAGCACATGGCACGATGCATGCAGCACATGGCACGATGCATGCAGCACATGGCACGATGCATGCAGCACATGGCACGATGCATGCAGCACATGGCACGATGCATGCAGCACATGGCACGATGCATGCAGCACATGGCACGATGCATGCAGCACATGGCACAATGCATGCAGCACATGGCACAATGCACGCAGCACATGGAACAATGCATGCAGCACATAGCACAATGCTTGGCACGTGGCAGGAGTGGCGAGCACGGGGGGTGGAGGGAGGGTGAGGTGACCTGAAGGGGGGTGGAGGAGGGTGGAGGAGGGTGGAGGAGGGTGAGGTGACATGAAAGGGGGTGGGGGAGGGTGGAGGGGGGCGGCCTGACCTGAAGCGCGCCGTTGATGACGGAGTGGGTGAGCAGCTTGTTCTCGTAGTGCTTCACTCTGTGGCGCACGCACATGCACATGCGCATGCACGGGGAGGGGGAGGCAGGGGACGCGTAGGATTCAGAGCAAGAGCGCAGAGGGAGGAACCAATGAACCGACCGATGGGGGCCATGTGGCATGTGGCATGATAAACATTGATATCTGTTGTGTTTTTGCGATGCTGCTGCAACCCCCATACTGGACCAGTGCAGCGCACCCCTCATGGGGGTGCAGTGCAGTGCACCCCCTCCACCCCCCCCCTCCCTTGCATGGCATGGCGCTCACTTGACGACCATCTCCTTCTTCAGCGCCGCCACTTCCCCCTCCAGCCGCGCCACCTCCGCACCTGCAGCACACACGGGCGGGCGCGGGACATGCGGGCGCAGCACACACGGGCGGGCGCGGCACACTCGGGCGCGGCACACACGGGCGCAGCACACAATGCGTCAGCACACGGAGCAAGGAGACGAACGAGGGGGCACAGGTCAGGCGCGGCAGAAGCGCGAGGCGAAACGGAGAGGCCCACGCATGACATGCGAGGGGGAGCGCAACGCCCATGCGGGGGAGCGCAACGCCCATGCGGGGGAGCGCAACGCCCATGCGGGGGAGCGCAACGCCGATGCGGGGGAGAGCAACGCCCATGCGGGGGAGCGCAACGCCGATGCGGGGGAGAGCAACGCCCATGCGGGGGAGCGCAACGCCCATGCGGGGGAGAGCAACGCCCATGCGGGAGTGAGCGGGGAACGTGCAAGGAGGGGATGCCACATCCAGCGTCGCGCTGCTCCCGCTGCACTCAACTCTGCTCGCGCTCCAGCGCTGCGTCTACCCGTGCATCGCCTTGACCTGCGCCATGCCGGGTGTCCACGCCACCCGCAGCACGCGTCGTCGCGCGTGCCTAGAGTCAGCCCCGGCCATCAGCGGCGCACATGCTGCCATGTCCTGCCCCCCCCACATCTGCTCTCACCGACCCTTCTACCCCTCGCACCACTTTGCACACCGCGTACTCACCGTCGTGCTGCGCGCTGCGATCACCCGACGGCTCTGCCGCTCCGCCATTCGCCATCTCTCCCGCAAACGCCGCTCCCGTCGGCATTTCTCGTGGAGAACAGGGTGTGTCCGTCGCTACCTCGTTGCAAGGGACATGTGGTTGCGTGGCGGGAGTGTGTTGTGGGAGAGCGCATAGGCAGGGCGGAGTTTGTGCGCAGTTGAGAGTGTCTGAGTGTGGTACTTATATTGAAAACAAAGTGGTTGGGCGAAAGGAGAAACCCTACACTAAAACAAACCCTACACTTAAGATGTTGAGATGTGTTTGCCTATGTTACGGGTGCAAATTGAACAAGGTAGCAAAAATTGCACTATGTGGGTCAAAAGTACAAAGTATGAGAGAAGGCATGAGCGAATACTTATGTGCGGAAACATGCAACGGTTACGCGGTGCGTGCGAGCTAGCTAGTGCTACGCTTGCATGGAGGTCCAGGCTAGTCCCGAAGCGTAGGCCGACCCGGCTGGGCCAGCAGTGCATGGTTTGGCGAAACAGTGCGCACGAAGTTGGCGAAGCCCCGTAAGCAGTAGCGGGCGAATAACGGCACATGTGCAGGAAGTGCAGCGGACCCTCTTCATTTGCGAGCGCCGATGACCGATGATGCTCGCAACCCTCCCACGCCCTTGCTGGCTTGGTAATAGTGTTGAACAAGGAATGAAACGACTAAGAATGAAATGAGTACAAATATGGAAACCTAGAAAAGTGTACCCCCTATAGGCTAACCCACTGTAGCCTAAACAACTACAACAATATATATAATGTTTGACACACCCCCATAGGCGAAGTGGGGGAGAACTAGGGGTCACAAGACCAGTCAAGTCAAGCAAAACAAAGTAAGCTCAGGGTGGATCACAATGTCACCACACAATCCGAGCACAAGTTCAAGGCCACAAGGCCAGTTCACATGCAAGAGTACATATATATATAAGACTAAACAAGCAAGAACAGTGATATATATATGTAACAGTACAAAGAGGGTCAAGAGGAGAGCAAGTTAGGCAAGACAGACACAAGACCCAGCTGGGTACAGCAGCGCTGATGATCACAAGGCGGAAGTGCCTTGGTGAAAACATCAGCATTGTTGGCCTCAGAGGCCACGTACGCAAGTCGCAACTGACCACGCTGCTGTAGCTCACGAGCAAGGAAGTAACGGAGAGCAATGTGCTTTGTTCTGTGCTCCAGTCTCTGCTCTCGACACAAGGCCAGCATGGCCTTGTTGTCGACGTACAGGACTGGAGGAGAACAAGGCGGCTCTCCAAGGTCGGTCAGCAGGTAGGTGAGCCAGCGAAGCTCCTGAGCAGCCATGGCCCCTGCGTAGATTTGAGCCTCACAACTGGAGCCGAGAACAGAAGACGAGCGAGTAGCCCGCCACGAAACAGAGCCGGAACCAAGGCTGAAGATGTAACCCTGTGACGACCGCTGCGTAGCCTGGTCGTCAGCCCAATAAGCGTCTGCGTGTCCAGTGAGGACCACTGGACTCCGCCCTCCAAGCACTAGTCCCATGCCCGACGTACTGCACAAGTAGCGCAACACCCTCTTCGCTGCAGCCATGTGCTCTGGTCGGTGTCTCCCAGGAGCAACATAGCGCGCAAGAATGCTAAGAGGGTATGCAAGGTCAGGTCGTGTGCAGGTCATCAGGTACATGAGACAGCCAACAAGCTCTGGGTACGGGCCACTCGACTCTACGGACTCATCCGAAGGCAGAGCTGAGAGCGAGTGGCGAGTAGACAGAGGAGTGGCCTGAGGCGAGGAGTACGTGAAGCCGAAGCGCTGAAGGACCTGCTGCACCATGTGTGACTGAGTCAGGGTAATGGTGCGGCGTGCTCTGTCCCGCGTGATCTGCAAGCCAAGGTAGCTGCGCAGTTCACCCAGGTCAGTGCACGTGTGTCTCTTCTGCAGCTCGGACTTCACGTAGGCGAGTCCAGCAGTGTCAGCAGTGGCAAAGACCAAGTCGTCGACGTACATGAGGATGTAGAACGGCGGCAGAGAAGTGTCGGTGCGGAGAAACAGCGACGGGTCGGCACTAGAAGGAGCAAACCCAAGTGCCGCCAGCGTAGTCCTCAGTGTGTCGTGCCACTCCCGCGGCACCTGGCGGAGACCGTAGACTGGACGCTGGAGACTCCACTGGGTACCAGGAGGGAAAGACCCAGTGAAGCCAGGTGGGCGACGCAGCCAGATCTCCTCGTGCAGGCTGCCCTGCAAGAAAGCTGTGCTGAAGTCGAGAGACTGAAGCTCGTAGTCCCGGTGAGCAGCAACGTGCAGCAGTACCCGAAGAGTGGTCATCTTCAAGGTGGGGGAGAAGGTCTGAAAGTAGTCAACTCCCTGGCGCTGACTGAAGCCACGAGCCACGTAACGCGCCTTGAAGACAGGCGGAGAACCCGGCGGCCGCTTCACCCTGAAGATCCACATGCCACTGACGATGTTCGCCCCAGGAGGGGGGACAGCGTCAACGTAGGTGCCTGTGGACTTCCAGGAAGCCATCTCTGCATCCATAGCTGCCTGCCACTGAGAGGAGTAGGGACCCTCTATCGCCTCCGCGTAAGAGCGCGGAGTCGGGATGTCTAGTGCATCCGGGTCTCCCTCAGGGGCTAGCAGTACAGACGCGAGATGAGGTAAAGCGGCAGCCAAGCACTGAAACTCCTCCTGCCTGTCCTCAAGGACGTCCGTGCCAAGGGCACACGCACCCCTGACGGACGGAGGACAGACAGACTCAGACTCAGCGACAAGACTAGCAGCGTAGTCTAGACGACAGCGAGCAGCAAAGTCGACGAGCTCAGCAACTAGGGCAGACGCAGCAGAAGACTCGAAGGAAGGGCCAGTGACGGCAGTAGCAAGGAGACGCGTGACAGTAGGACTGGCAGCACGAAGAGAGTCCGACGCAGGGTCGGCAAGAGTAGGAAGAGAGGACGTAGGAGGAGAAGGCAAAGGAGCACGCAGAGGAGCAGTAGACGGACGCAGAGACATCCGGTGCGTGCCAGGAACAGGAGGAGGACGCGGATGCGAACTACGAGCACTAGTGCTAGCAGGATGGACAGGCGACGCAGGGCGAGACGCAGGCTCACGACGCTCAGTAAGACCGTCAGTAGGACCAGAGTAAGGAGAAGGAGCAGGCAGTGACTGGACATGCTGTGGACACACTAAAGGAGGGGGAGGACCAGGAGGAGGCGAGAGACCAAGAACCTGCTGAAGGAGCGGAACGAAGTACGGGTGAGGGCGCGCGGCGACTCCAGACACAGCAGGGACAGCACCAGTGCCCCCAGCGGCAGTACCAACGCCCGAGTCTGCAGCACCAGCAGGGACTCCAACACCAGGGTCCTCAGCACTTGTCGCAGCTCCAACGCCCGGGTCCTCAGCACCAGCCGCAGCTCCAACACCCGGGTCTTCAGCACCAGAAGCAGCTCCAACGCCCGGGTCCGCAGCACCAGCAGCAGCTCCAACGCCCGGGTCCGCAGCACCAGCAGCAGCTCCAACGCCCGGGTCCGCAGCACCAGCAGCAGCTCCAACGCCCGGGTCCTCAGCACCAGCAGCAGCTCCAACGCCCGGGTCCGCAGCACCAGCAGCAGCTCCAACGCCCGGGTCCGTAGCACCAGCAGCAGCTCCAACGCCCGGGTCCTCAGCACCAGCAGCAGCTCCAACGCCCGGGTCCGCAGCACCAGCAGCAGCTCCAACGCCCGGGTCCGCAGCACCAGCAGCAGCAGGGTCCGTGAGACGAGGCGGGCCACTACGAAGTGTGCAACGGCGCTCGTACCACTCACGGATCCGCTCACGAGAGGGGAGCTCCCGACTAGAAGGAGAAGTACCAGCACCAGTCTCCGTAGCGCGCCTGGTCCCAGAGGTACCTCTCCGGAGGCTGCAGTACTGTAAGTACCACTCACGCAACTGCTCTGAGGAGAGGTCTCGTCCAGGCGTAGAACTCTCAGACCCAGCACCCCCAGGCTCAGCACCCCTAGTCACCGCACCCCCAGGCTCAGCACCCCCAGTGTCCGCACCCCCAGGCTCAGCACCCCCAGAGTCCGCACCCCCAGGCTCAGCACCCCCAGCGTCCGCACCCCCAGGCTCAGCACCCCCAGCAGGACGAGAGTTGACAGCAACCTCAATAGGCTCGACCGGGTCTACCTGAGACACACCTGAGGGAGCGGCACCCTGAGGGGGGAGGGGGTCTATGACAGCAGCACCTGGCGCGAGGAAGAGAGGCGGGGGTGGGAGCGGGGCAGTGCGGTAGGGGAAGAGGCGGTAGTAGGGGACAGACTCGTCAAAAGTGACGTCCTGAGAAAGCAAGACCCGGCGCGAGGTGGCGTGGTAAAACTGCCAACCAGGCGCGTCCGGAACAAAGCCGAGGAAGACGCAGGGAACAGCACGAGAGGAGAGCTTGTCCGCAGACGAATCGCGAACAAAAGCTCGAGATCCCCAGACCCGGAAACGCGACGCATCGCCAACCTCCCCCGTCCACAGCAGTGTGGGCGAGGTCTCCGGCAAGGAGACACGGGGCCAGAGGTTGAGCTGATGCGCAGCGTACCGGACCGCAAACAGCCACAGAAATTGGGGGGCAGCCGCATGGATCAAGGAGGTACGAGCGACCTCCATGACCAGGCCAATGCGGCGCTCCGCAACCCCATTCTGCTGTGGAGAGGCCAGAAGCGTGAACGACTGCTCAATGCCGTGCTCAGCACAGTAGGCTGCCAAGA